AGCGCGGCCGCGCACAGGGAGGAGCTCGGCGGCAAGGTGCGTGTGGGCGCGACGCGGAGGCCGCGGGGCTCGGCCCCGCTTCCCTCGGCCCGAGGCGCGGCGTGGGTTAACGTACCGGAAGTTGTGGATGAGCTTCTCTGAGCAGCCCGAAGCGTGAAGAGCAAAGTAAAACACAGATAACGGGAAACGGGGAGGGAGATCTCTTGCCAGAGGCGGGGCAGCGAGATCGCACAGCTAGAGAATAAAAACAATAAAAAGTGGCAGCGACGCAGAGCTGAGCGACGTCTGCGATGGAACAAGCGCTGTTAAGTTCTCTAACTGTTTTTGTGCTGTTTTGTCTTCGTTATTTGTTTTTCTTTTTAAAATAAAAAAGAGAACGCTTTGGACTGTAGCTCCACGCATTTGCTTACCGTGGCGTTACAGCGAGAACTCTAGTTGGAAAATTGGACTTGAATAAGCACACAGAAAAGGGGGGGACCCGCGGCGCAGGGCGGGGAGTGGGGCGCGGTTGGCCCCGAGCCCGCGTCCGGCCCGTGCTCCCGCCGCCTGCGAGACGAGTCCGCAAAAGCCTGCGCGCCCTCCGGCCACAGCCATCGCGAGCGCTCGGCGCGGGTCTGTGGCGGGTCCCGAGGGGTGTGAACCGCGCAGTCGTGAAAGGTTTCAGAGGTGCGGGCGGTGCGGTGTGGTCAGTCCGTCGTGTCGCAGCACGCCGTGGCTCCTGAGCAGTTCGGACAGTTTTCACCGCGTTGCGCTTTGTCCGGCTGATGCAGAGGAGTCCCAGCGGCGCGGTGCAGCGCCGGGCCCGGTCTTGCATGTGCAAGAGGGGTGAGACGGAGGTGGCGGCTGGTAGATTGATTTTACTGTGTCGGGTTTGGTACTGTTAGCTTGACCGAAATACCTAGGTGTTTTATATAGTGCAGGAACCATGAAAAGCACTGGTAATTGGGGGAAAAAAGTAGGCCACAACTTTAAAAAATTGAAAGATGGGTATCACTTTTCGGTGACTGTATTATTTTTAATAAAAGCTATGAGCCGTGTGTAGTAACAGGCGCCGGCCTGAGGGATGGTTAGGAACACCGACCCCGCTGTGTGGGCTCAGCGGGCCGCCTGACACGTCTTTCCTCCCGCCTTCCCCTGCCTGTACCCCGCACGCAGACGGCTGCCGAAAAGAGCCTAAACTCACAGGCTGTCGGCTGACAATCAGCATACGATAGGGCCTTATCCCATCTCTCAAATTGTAAAGCAATTAAAAGGTCCCTAATGAGCATACTTTGAAAACCTCTAATTCAAGGTCTTTTGTTTCAGTAGATTAAAGAACAGAAAATTGTTGTGGATGAACTTTCTAACTTGAAGAAGAACAGAGTAAGTTACTAATGGAATTCTTATATTACCTATATAGTAATAAGAATTTGTACTGAGGGGTAGAAGATTTCAGCATCTTTTAAAATCGCAAACATGAAGTGTGCTACTTTGTTGCCTGCTTGCCTGTCTTTCTTTCCTTTTCTTTTGTCTTTCTTTCTTTCCTGGTAATGCATATATAGGTAGACGTCACGGTTGGAAATGTCTTTTCCTTACCATATGCTATTCATTTTGTCTTTGGAAGAACAAATGATATTAATTGCGCTCTGGTATCTTGGAACTGCAGTCATTAGTGATAAACTTTGTACTTGAATTTGATTTTTTTTCAATGAGTGAGCTTTAAATACATTGAAAAGAGAAGAAACTTACTCCTTTAAATGAATGTGGATAATTGTCAAAAAAGGATAAATCGCTTCCCTTTCCCTCACAAAGTTTAGATAAATCTTCTCACTGCTTCACATGATTTTTTTTCTGAGATTTTTTATTTTAAAGAGAATAGTAAATGAGAAATAAACAAAGAAACAGAACAGTAGCAGCACACCAGCATCACAAACACAAACAAATCAAAACAAGAACACTCACAGTGACACAGAGTCTCAAGACAAAATAATACAAATCAGCAGTGGTTGTTACACTACACATTGCTATGCTCAACTACATTGCTCAGATTACCTGATGTAAGAATGAAAGATTGCTCAAACCATCATAGGGAATAAGAAAATAATTCTTCGATCAAACAGTAGAGATAATACAGAGTTTCACCAGACAAGATGGCAGGAGCTCACCATTGTAATTCCATTTCCATTGCATACTGTCACCTTCAAATCAGTTGTTCTTATAATGCCGTTTCCCTCAATTTATTCATAAAGCACAAGCTGTTGACCCATGTGTAGTTACACTGTGAAAAACCACATGTTAAAGTTCTAGAAGAAATTATTTTTAACATTTTAAAGCATGGTGTTTTTTTTTGTCTTTTGTCATTTTGAGACAGAGTCTCGCTGTGCTGTTCAGGCTGGCCTCGAACTCATTTTGTAGCCCAGGCTGGCCTCGAACTTAGTTATCCTCCTGCCTCAACCTCCCCAGTGCTGAGATTACAGGTGTACGCCACCACATCCGGCTAAAGCATTTTAAATTATTTTATAGCTGACAGGTTGGACATTTTGCTATTGTCACTTATGAAATACTAAAAATTAAGGCAAATTAATACAAACTTTCTGACAGACCCATAGGCAAAATGTATTAGAGCCTTAAAGTGTGTACCGCTGTGAGCCAGCAGTTCCGTTTATAGTCATTGAAATGTAAGACCCTGATGAGTGTGCATAGAACTTCAGTCATGGAGATGTTCACCAAAGCATTGATTTACAGTAGTGAAGAGTGGGTAGCACTTTAAATGGCTAATATTTGAGGACTGAACAAGGAAACTGTACTGTTACACCCGTTACCCATCCTGTAATGTGGTAAAAGAACTTACTGATGAGAAAAAGTATTCTCCATACGTTGTTCAGTTATAAAAGTAAATTGAAAGCCTGTAATAGGTAAGATCCTTTTTTGTTAATAGGAAAACAGTATATGTGAAGGAAAACAAAAGAGTTACAACTCAGTGTAACTAGCAGCAATTTCTGGGTGGTAGGCTAGTAGGTGACCTTGATTTGTCTTTTTATATATTTGTGTTTGCTAACGTATTGTTCTGGACATATATTTTGGAAGTTCAAGAATTTTGACATCTGTTTTTTAGATCAAATCTTGATAGTAGCCTAAATTGTGTTTTACAGAAAGTATATAAGCAGCAACAGAACAGCAATGTATTCTTTCTTGCAGACCGAACAGAAATGCTTTCTGAAAGCAAAAGTAAGTTTTTGGTTGTTTTGTTTTAATGTTTGGTATTGAAAGGCACAGAAAATCATTCCTCTGCTTTCTGTGGAAATTTGTAATCCTTCCATTAAACTGCCTGAGTGTTTAACTGTGCATCTAAACATTAATAGTGATTTACATGGACCTTCCCAAGATGAGTCTATAGGAAAAGAACCTGTAAGATGTGTTAAAAGCAGTAGTTACTAGCATGTGCTTAAGAGTGACAGCTGTTAGTATAAAAACCATTACGCTATTTTCTACCTTTGTGGCATTGAATGAAATATGAATAAAATTGAAGGAAATACTCCAAGCCCAAGGCCTTGAGGGTTTATGTAGATGGTATATATAAGGTGCTGAGCCACGCGCCTGGGCCAGAATAAGGACTTGGTGAACAGAAACTCTTTTTTCTAAAAGGTCAGCGTTCTTTGTTGGTAGCCGTTATTAATTATTTCCAGCACTAACACACCGGATCAACTCATATAGTTTGATCTTGGTAGATAATGTGTTGTCCTGTGGGTTCACAGGTAAAAGTCCAAGCATTTGTATTTTACTTAATATTGTTTCTTTCTCTCTCCCACAGATGTCTTAGATGAGTTGAGAAAAGAATACCAAGAAATAGAAAACCTAGAGAAGACCAAAATCAAGAAATAGTCATCCTGATTTCATAGAGCAATGTGTGGCATTTGCTGTTCTGTAAGCTTTTCTGTGGAGCATTTCGAGATAGACTTAAAAGAAGATTTACTGTATAATCTGAAACGGCGGGGACCCAACAATTGCAAACAGTTGTTAAAATCTGCCGCCAGCTACCAGTGTTTATTTTCTGGTCATGTCCTTCACTTGAGAGGTGTTCTGACCGCCCAGCCTGTGGAAAATGAAAGAGGCGATGTGTTCTTGTGGAATGGAGAAGTCTTTGGTGGAGTAAAGATTGAAACTGAAGAGAATGATACTCAGATGATGTTTAAATATCTTTCCTCTTGTAAGACTGAAGCTGATATTTTGTCACTATTCTCGGGAGTACAAGGTCCTTGGTCTTTTATATATTATCAAGCATCGAGTCATTACTTATGGTTTGGGAGGGACTTTTTCGGTCGCCGTAGCCTGCTTTGGCAGTTCAGTAATCTGGGCAAGAGTTTGTGCATCTCTTCAGTTGGCACCCAGGCCTCTGGAGGGACAAAGCAGTGGCAGGAAGTTCCGGCAGCTGGGATTTTCAGAATTGATCTAAAGTCTGCAGCCAATTCCAGATGCGTGATTTTAAATTTTTACCCTTGGAAACGTGTTTCTGCGAAGAATGTCACTGAAGAACATGTCAATGTCCTGACTCAGATTTCAGCAGACTTACCAACATCTGTATCAGTGGTGATGAATGAGGCCACACTGTATCTTGCAAAACCTATTGTTCCTTTAAATGTGACGTTGCCCCAAGCTCCACTGGAAACTCACTGCAGAAAAATATCCAGTGTCCCACCTACAAAAGAGACACTCGAGGTCTTTCTTACAGATGAGCACATGAAAAGAGTAGTTCACCAGTTCATTGATGTCCTAAGTATTGCAGTCAAGAGACGTGTCTTGTATTTGCTGAGGGACAAAAGCCCGCCACCAGAGGAAGTTTTGAAAACGTGTGACAGGAAAGCAAATATTGCAGTCCTGTTTTCTGGAGGCATTGACTCCATAGTGATTGCAGCCCTCGCCGACCGTCATATCCCTATAGATGAACCGATTGATCTTCTTAATGTAGCTTTCATGATGAAAGAAAAGACCACACCAACTCATCATAGTAACAGGCGAGAACAGAAAGGTTACTGTGATACATCTTCTGGAGAAGTCTCTGTGAAGGCCAGTGCCGGTGATGGTGATAGTCTTGAAGATAAAGTCCCAGATCGAATCACAGGAAGAGCCGGACTAAAGGAACTGCAAACCGTTAACCCATCTCGCGTTTGGAATTTTGTTGAAATCAATGTTTCTCTGGAAGAACTGCAAAAACTAAGGAGAACACACATTTGTCACTTAGTTCAGCCCTTGGACACGGTGTTGGATGACAGCATTGGCTGTGCAGTGTGGTTTGCTTCTAGGGGGGTTGGTTGCTTAGCAACTCCAGATGGAGCGAAATCGTATCAGAGCAAGGCAAAGGTATGGCCCAGTATTTCTGCTCAGAAAAACTTCAGAGACTGAATTTTGACCCAAGAGCTGTAGTATTTAAGTTCCAAGAATATAGCATATTTTATTTGCATCTAAATTAAAAATATAATACATACGCTGTGTTAAAAATGGGCATAAGTTACTATTTTCTGATCTTACGGTTTTTCTCCAAAAATATTACAGTTAGGGTGTAATTTTTTTAAGCTTTTCTTTTTTGTGTGGTAGGTCATGTGTTTACATGGGTTTCTTTAAACTTTGGTAGGTAATTCTCACAGGCATTGGCGCAGACGAACAGCTTGCTGGTTATTCCCGTCATCGCGTCCGCTTTCAGACGCTTGGACTGGGAGCACTGAATGAGGAAGTAGCCATGGAGCTGGGCCGGATTTCTTCTAGAAACCTCGGTCGTGATGACAGAGTTATTGGTGATCATGGAAAGGAAGCAAGGTGATTCTCATTAATTGAAAGTTTTCTAAGGTACTTTAGTACAAACACTAGGCTATCAAAGGACTTCCTGAGCTTTTTCTTCAGAGTCTGTTGGCATGAATAACTGGGACAGCAGTAATACTGCAGCTTTATGATTACAAACATGGAAGCACAGGTAGGAGGAGCCAGAGGAGCACCTGTTTTCCAGAACTCATTCTCCAAGAAATGTCTTTTCAGTTAGATGTGCATGTGATAGAATGGCGTGATTGTTTATAAAACTACAATGAAAAAGACTGAAAGTAAAACTGCGATAGTATACGAGAAAAGGTATTTACAGCATATGGTTCTGCTTTAAATATTGACTCTCCTCCCAGTAAGAGTACTGTGTAAGCCCAGGCTTTCTCCTCCAGTATCACGGACTCTGCATCTCAGTATGTGCTTTACCTACAGCATATTTCCAATGGTAATAAACAGGCACTTGAATAAAGCTTTTTTAGACAGTAAGGGTGAAGGACGATGTGCGTATGAAGAACAGAACCCTGTTTAGTAATTGTGAAGCGGGGGTTTATTACAAGGCTACAAGTACGCAAGAATGAGGAGTCCACGTAAGCCTCAGGAATCTCAGTATCACAACCACTTTCATCTCTCACTGAGACTTTGCTGTCTCCTGTCTTGACTTCAGACTTTTTCTCTTTCCGCTGAATCATGGTTGTCTTTACCCAGTTGTTATTCTTATGTTGCCAATCTGGATGCAATATTGACACTGTAGTGTGTATTCTGTTACAGTTTTCAAGATTTCCCTATAAATACCTAATACCGCACTACAAAGTCCATAGGGAAAGCCTTTGAAGGCTGTGAGAGAGAAAACCCAAGAGAGGAGAAAAAGAAATTTAGTCCATTATTCAGCCGGGTCAGAGAGAAGGGAATTTACTTCCTCTAGTGAAAACAGTTACTTCTACAGGCCCTACAAATATGAAGGGTATTTGTTACACTCAGATAAAATGCATATGAGAATTATTTAAAATAGGTGATACGAGTGGTTAAGTAAATTATTATGTATCTTGGCAACATATAACAGTAATCTACTTGATGAATATTTATTGCGTACTTAACAGTACTTCGTTTTTATAAAATATGCTGTAGAACAAATTCCTTTACCCTTTTCAATCTTTCTTCTTCTCTGCCTCAGCTAGAATGAAACACTAGTGTAAGTGCATTGCATTCTGAGGAACTAGAAGGGTGCAGAAAGGAGTTAAAGCCTTACAAACAGTAGAGTTCTGAGAGAAAATAGACACAAAAAGCAGGAAGTCATTTTTTAAAATCTCATGTTTTCTTCTGTTACATCAGTTTGTCACCATTTGAGCATTTTAAAGTGTAATGAAACGGTTTTGATACCACAGGTTGGTGTTTCACAGTCCACGAGTGTGGAGCCCTTCTGTATTTGTTTCCTGACCCAAGAGAAAGTTCAGTTTCTTTAGATACAACAAAGGCCAGACACAGATTGGCTTCTGTAGGTAGTCAAGGTCGTGCCTGTTCTCAGGGCATCCCTAAAGATAACTTGTGAAATAGTTGAAATTATTTCTTGACATCGTGAACCTAATCTATTTATTCTTAAATTATTTTCTAACATATGTATCATCCTATGTTGTGAAACACTAATGTATTTACATAAAATTATATGTAATTATGTAAGTAACCATTAACAGGTTGATTTTTATTTTTCATATAGTAGTTACTGTATCTGTTTATTTCAGATTTCCATTCCTGGATGAAAATGTTGTCTCCTTTCTAAATTCCCTACCCATCTGGGAAAAAGCAGACTTGGCCCTGCCCCGTGGAGTTGGTGAAAAACTAATTTTACGTCTTGCGGCTGTGGAACTTGGTCTCACGGCCTCTGCCCTCCTGCCAAAACGGGCCATGCAGTTTGGATCCAGAATTGCAAAGATGGAAAACAGTAAGGAAAAGGCATCTGACAGGTGTGGAAGGCTCCAAGTCATTTCCTTAGAAAACCTTTCTTTTGCAAAGGAGACCAAATCGTGATATGATTTCATACTGTTACAGTATTTACTGAATGAATGTTCCATGAAAATAAAACGTTCCTCTGCTTTGTTATTGTACATTGTGGTGGTTTCAAAGCTCATTGCATAAATGTTTACTTTTCCTATGGCAAAACTTCTAAAAGTTGGAATTTCCTAAGTGATAGCAGTGTTTCGTCACCTACAGTGAATGCCTTTTGATTCCCATTGCAGTGAGGCAGTTTCTGGTGAGATTCCCTGCACGGTCTCAGGGTGGAGCTGATGAGCAGAAAGACCCAGTGTTCAGGAGGGCTGCACCTTGAGCTCCATCTGAAGACTTTCGGGAGTGAAGTGAGGTGGGCTGGAGGTTAATCTCAGTGAAGATCTGCAAACACTTTTCCAAGGAGACTTGATGGTCCCTGGTTTGCTGGGCCCATGGATATACTAGGACTGTGACCCACCCAGAGTGTGCGTGGAAGCTGTTTTTTGCCTTCTGACCCCCAAATACCTTGCCATATGTATCTTCCAGCCAACTGTTCCTGAGCTGCAGCCTTTAAGATAAACCAGTGAGTTATTTACAGAATTCAGATCTCTGTAAGCCAGTCTAGCAGAGTTATAGGAGCCCCAACTCGCAGCTGGTTGGTCAGAAGTACCGAAGCTTCAAATTGAGGTTGGCATTTAAGGTGGGGGCAGTCTTATGGGGCTGAGTCCTTACCTCATCTGACACTAGCTCCAAGTACACAGAATCAGATGGGATCAAACTGTAGAACACCCAGATGATGTTCAGAGACTGAGAATTGATGGGTGTCAGAAGTGTGTGAGTGCAGCGAAATGGAGAGATTTCCCAGACTATCTTCATGGCAGCCGCATCCAGAAAGGACTCAGTTTGCTAAGTTGTGGTCAGGGACCTTGCTTTACACAGGACTTTGACAGATGAGGAAGCTGAAGTTTTGAGAAGCTAAACAGTGCTTGAGGCTCACACTCCTGAGCAATACTCAGTACATCTGTTTAGACAGCGCATTTTCCTACTTCAAGAACTTTTTAAAAACTTTTAAACATCCTTTTTCTGCCCCACAAATCGCTAACCTGTGTCCCCTTCTTAGTTGATGACTTGAGATTTGTACAGAGAGCAACCTCAGGTCAAGAACTGCATCCTCTTCCCAGCACAAGAGTTTTGTGTTTTTTGGTACCTGAGTTTGAAGCCTGGGCCTTTGGACTGAGCATTCTTATCTTACCCCAGCCCCTTCTTATTTTTTTTATTCTGAGATAGAGTCTCACTCAGTTCCCTTGGCTGGGCTCCAACTTGCGATCCTCCTGCCTCACCCACCCAGGGTGCTGAGATTACAGACCTGTGCCACTCTGGCAGTTCCCCAGACGTTTTTGTTTGAACAATAGAAATACATTTCTGTCAGTTCTGGAGGCCGGAGTCCAGGGTCCGGACATGGTCTGTCTCTGATCCCTCTCCCCTTGGGTTGCGTGGCCACCTCTCTGTCCCCACGTGGTCTTGGTGTGTGTGCACGTGTGCATGAGCACGCCCAGGTGTCTCCCACACCATCTGACCCACCGCCTTGGCTCACCTGGGGTTCTATAAATACCTAGCAAGTGAGAGAATGATGGTGAAGTTGGGGTTCCAGCTCCGGATTCCCTCAAAGCCGGATGATCTCACCGCCACCATTGTTTCCCTTCAGCGGAATCAGGGCCTCACCGGGCCGAGGCTAAGGCTGCCTGCCTTCTAAAGGGTCAGCACGCTGAGCTGAGCGGCTGTCAGCTGGACACGCGGCCCTCCCACCCGCGCCCAGTCCTCGCGGGGGTCCCCACCCCAGCGCCCCGGGAACCAACGACTCGGACCGCGCCCGCAGCGGCGCCACCGAGGGGCAGCGAGAGGCCGCTCCCGGCGGCGACCGTCCCAGCCCCCGGGACCACGCGGGACCCAGTGTCCCTCTCCTATACAAAGTGATCATTACAAAGTAGGCGTCTCCCTTTCCGCGTCCATCCCCGAGCCGTGGCAGACGCGAGCTATTGTGATCCTGGGTCTTAGGCTTGTGTGTGACACACCGGGTTCTGACTTTGCATCCACCAAGCAGGCAGAGCAAGGTCTGCCTCGCTGGACCGGGTTCCCCAAGTTAGCAGGAGAGGCAGATTCTCTGTGCCACCCCAGCTAATGGAATCCGACCCTGCGGGGTGGGATCAAGCAAGATGTATTTTCACAAGTGGCAGACGATTTTAATATCAGCTAAATTTTGAGAACCACTGTATCATGGAGATCGATTACATGAAACAATCAAAAATGTTGTGTATAAGGTACCTGGCAAATAGTAGATACTCAACAAAATGACAATATGGTTATTACTCCAGGAACACAGAAATATTTAATTACACAAAAACCGAAGGTTAGACTGGGAATACAGCTCCGTGATAGAGCACTCACTTAGCGTGTCTGAGCCCCTAAGGCTAGAACCAAAAGCAAAAAAGAAAAGAAAAAGGAATTTAAAAAAAAAAAAAAAACAGGTATTTCCTGTCTGCCCTTTAAGCAGGTCCTTATTTTCTTTAAAATTTTGAAGAGGTGCACAAAAAATCCCCTCCAATGAGAATACTGTAGGTTTATAGCAGTTGCTTCTCATGTATAAACTTAGCGTTTTCTTGACAGACAGTCACATTACTTAACAATAGGGACACATTCTGAGAAGCATGTCAGACCACTTCATTGTGTAATCATCATAGAATGTACAAGCTAAGATGCTACTGTATTGCTAGGCAGTATACTCTATGAGACAGGATCCTCTGCAGTCTGTTGCTGACGGAAATATTGTTATGTAGCGTACATTAGTGCTTCGCTGTATCTTTTGACTCTTGAAAAGCAGAGCGTGATTAATGTTTACAGGTCTTACAATTTTAATTATTTTAATTGAGATTTCAGCTTATGCTGCAGCTAGTTTAAAATTGGAAAATAATGTAATGGTCAACTGACCTTAGAAAAACATTAACCTGAGATAAAGTATAGATTTATTTGTAAGGAAATGCAGATGCATGATCCTGTCCATTTTTATTACTTCTCTTTTATTTTACTCATTGCAGAAACTTCCAGAATTGAAGCTAGATTTAATTGAAAATGTTAAGACTGCCCAAAAAAGGATTACCTAGAATTGATCAAGCTCAAGATGAAGAAACCTACCTTGAAAATTTAGCAGTACAGAGAAATGCTTCTGCTTTTTTTGAAAATTATGATCGGAGTGAAATACAAGAGTTACTAACTACGGCATTAGCCAGCTGGTTGTCTACCAAGGAGGACGGGCGCTCTCAGATAGAGTTCCCGAGTGGGATTATGAGTCAGATGAACAACGTAGGTTTCTCCACTGCGATCCTGCTGATGCCTGTGGACCCGACCGCCCTCTTAGACTATAGGGAAGTCCATCAGATCATCAGGGAGTTGGCTGTTGGAATTTATTGCTTAAATCAAATTCCTTCAATCAGTTTAGAAGCTAATTATGATCAGAGTTCTTCCTGTCAGCTACCTCCAGCTTATTTTGATACCAGAGTTGGGCAAATTCTGATCCATATTGACTACATGCTGAAAGCACTATGGCATGGAATATACATGCCCAAGGAGAAACGAGTCAGGTTCTCTGAAATGTGGCGTACCATCTTGGACATCGATCCAGATGGGAAGCCTCAAACAAATAAAGATATTTTTGCAGAGTTTAGTTCAGCAGGTAAGAGAATTTTGCGCTTCTTATTTTTATTAGAAACCATTTTTACTTTTAAAGATAATTTATCTGCCTCAGTTTCTAGAGCCATCTTTCTGGATTAAAAAATTTTCTAATTTAGCCCCCTAAAGGAGATTATTTTTAAACTTCAAAACATCTTTTTAATAAAACTTTAGTGTTTTAAAAATGCCACCAAATAGCCAGGCATGGTGGTGCACACCTGAAGTCCCAGCACTTGGGAGACTGAGGCCTGCTGGGGCTGCATAAGCCAGTTCGAGGCCAGCCTGCACTACGTAGTGAGATGCTGTCTCAAAACAAACACACAAAAGCCATCAAGAATTTTCCATCAGGCATCATGCCTCTTTCGTTTTAATCTCCCATTTCTACAGAACAGATCCAATTCCAGATGACCTAATAAGGCGTTTTCAGTTTATCCTTTTTATTGTGTAGCGCTTATGCAGAAAGCAAGTATCATCCAAGAAAAGAGTAAAATTGAAGGGCAATGCAAAAGTCTCCAAACTTGGAAACACAATGATTACCAGACTGGTTAGCTTTTCACATTGCTGATTTTATACATCTCAAAACAAACAAAAAATGAGCGTTAGAAGAACCCAAGTTAAGAATGAATACCTATTAGCCCTCTAGATCTTGGTATTTCAGTAGCTTTCAGTTTCATAAGCATGTATTCTTACTTTATCTAATTTTGAATTTCCTCCCGCATCAAGGTTATATTCTCTATAGCCTAAATATGTTAACAGTAGCTGCCACTAAATCCGGTGCATCCACTCTAGATTATGTAATTTTTTATTGAAGCTTTAAAAAAATGTCCCAGGGCTGGGGATTTAGCTCAGCGGCACAGCTCCTGCCTGGCAAGCACGAGGTCGTGAGTTCAATTCCTGGTACTGGAGAAAAAACAAAACAAAACAAAAAAAATGTCCCATGTTACCTTTGCAGCAGACCGAGTGGAGTGAGGAGTGACGCAGGACATGTGTGCTCTAGGTGTGTACTGCCGCCAGCTACTTTCATTATCAAATATACCTAATAACTTCCTAACTTAATTTCCAGAATTTCTGGGCACAGACTTAAAAACAAATTGATGTAGGTTTTTGTAGATCTGTGTTGGAATTTGGGAGAGAGCAAAACTGATAGAGTTTATTACATCTGAAACTAGAAAAAGATGCCAACTCATCTTTCAAGAATAGGGCTGGGGATTTAGCTCAGCGGCTCAGCACCTGCCTGGCAAGCACAACCTTGTGAGTTTGATTCCTGGTACCAGAAAAACAAAACAAAACAAAACAAAAGAATAAAATGATATCCAGATGGCTCTTTTTTGGCTCTTCTAAGGAGAAATCTATTGATTTATGTAGTGCACATTAATTGGCTGCCTATTTTTAGTTTGATATTCAAAAATAAAATACGTTCAATCTTTAGTTCATTTTCATACATCATCTTAGCACGGAAGGTTTCCTTTGCATAAACTCACTGAGGCAGGAAAAGAGTAATACTGTTCCCTAAGTAACCAGATTTCCCTTGGCTAAACAGAGCTGATAACTGAAGCTTTTAAGCAGTAAATCGTGTGGAAATGAACTACTTTCACTTGAATTGGACATGTAATTGGGGGAAAATTATCTGAAAAAACATTTTAGTCTGTCAGTGTAGGTCTGTGTACTAGAGAAAATACTTTGAAAAGCAATTTGTTGTTCTTAGCTTCTCAGTAAGACACAGAAAAATTATAATCATTGGAACATTTAATGCAATTAATATGGTAAGCTCATTTCATGAGGTTGTTATCTGACCTCTGTCATTGGTAGCTAAATCAAAAATTCTGCATATGCATATTTATAAGGGGCTCCTACTTGATTCACTTTATAAATATTAGTTGAACTTTTATTTCTTGCTAAAATACAAAAATAAGCCCAACTGGCAAGAACAGGTAAACAAATACTTGAGTATTTCAACATCCATGAAAATAGGGCCCTCACCTGCCTCGTTTATCCGTGGAAGTTTAGTGCTTAGCACAGTATCTGACATGTAATATTTAAACATGAGCAAAAATTTGTTAAATTGCATGAAATGAACTGAGTTGAGTGAAGAAATCATTACGTGAGGAAGGAGTACTTTGCATGTTTAATTGGTTTCTACCATTCCCAGTGGGTGAACTTGGAGAATAAACCTATGTCCCATATGGACTCAATGGTTATTAACTAGAGAACAGCCCCCAGCAAGGGTGTCGCAGGTACTTACAGGGTGTCACGACGGGGCAGGGCAACTAAAGTTTCCCGTAGATCATGCTCAAGGCTTTGAATATTCCCAGGTACAATACCTCCAGATGTCTAGGTACAGCAGCTACAACTGGGTGGTCATCCCCAAGCCCCACCTCCAGCACAAAACACCACTGAACACCTCCAAATCTCAGTTAGAACCTGAAATACAGGGGTGTTTGTTTGCTACCTATGCTATGTGCCTGCCCTTCTGTGAAATTCAAATGCTTGAGAATAACATCTGACGACAGGGAGGCCGACTAATTCACCTGCTGTGGGCTGGGTTTCCAGACGTGCTGTTTCAGGCAGCACCACGTACGTGTTCTGCATCTTCGCTGTACCTACAAGAGTTCAGCCTCTTGAAGATGGTGTCTCCATAGCTCAGTGACAGCTTAGACAGCTGGTAGCTTTCCTTTTTACGCCAATTGTTCAACTTTTGAGAGAAGGTTCTAAGTTTAATAGATATAAGGAAGGAAGAAATTCTCCCTCCCCTGGGACAGAACATCTCAAGTGGTGCTGGTGGAGTAGGCACTAATGCCATCTGGGTGGGTGTTTCATCAGGATTAGTTTACCAGGAGGTTCTCGGTTTACTGTATGTGTCTAGCTTCCCTTATTAGCAAAAAGAAGTTTATGATATTAGGCCTGAAAAACTAAAATATACTTTTTATCAAAGAAAAAGGCTGATTGCTTGATTAAGGGGACATCCCATTTTCCTGTTGTTCTTCCATATTTTTCTTGATTAAAGATGGGACTTCAATGATTGTGTTACCATGGCTTTATGTTTCTTTCTGTAAAAAAAAGAATAGCTCTTGGAGGAATTAGTAGAGGAAATCTATTTCTTAAAATTCCAGTGGTTTTTATCTTCTCTCTGCTTAGTGGCCTATTCATCCCTCTGCTTTTAAAAATCTTATACTATTTTATTGTGTCTCATTGTTTTTATTTCACTGTAAGCCTAGCAGGATTTCAACATGAAAGTCTGTGTTCAGTTTGGTGTATTTATCTGGGAGGAAGTCAAGCATGACACTTTCACTGTCTAAAATTTTTCTCTTTTACTGTGAAGGGTTGGTTGATATTACACAGGATCCAGACTTTAGTGGAATCTATGATGAAGACCTGAATGAAGATCCAACATATTATCCTAACAGCCCTGAAGAAAAAGCTGTCTTTATGAAATATGCTGAAAATATTCTGCTAAAATTGACATTCAGTACCACACAAGTTCAGCAGTGTGAAAATGTCTTTATATTTGAAGCAACCTATTGGCTGACCAATGCTATAAAATATACTCAGGATTATCTTGATATTTGTACCTATCAGAGACTACAGCAAAGATTATATCTTCAAAAAAAGGTTATTCAAAAATACTTTGAGAAGAAAAAAGAAATCAGAAGAGGGATAAGTTACCTAAAGTTGATATGTTTTCTGGTTCCATTTTTACTAAGTTTGAAAAAGAAGATGAAAGTTCCATATTTAAATAGCCTGCTTCAGCCTTTTTCAGGTAGGATATCACCAAAAATCAAATATAAAATGGTATATGTCTGTAATAAATGCATATCTAATGTCAGTTTGTTCTCATATATACTCCAGGCTTATAATCTTTTAGAATAACAACAAATTTAATGTTTCCAGTGTAATTAAAATATTTAGCATACATACATAGCATTTTGTATATATTTATGCTAATTATAAAAACTACTAAAAGACTTAAAATAAGTTCCAAATAAATAATGCACCATGTTCATCTAAATTACCCTGTAAACTCAATACACTTCTATTCAAAATCCATACCATATTTCTCCTTAAAGTTTACAAATAGAATGATTTTGCATTTCTTTAAAAAAATGAAATGATTAAAACTATACTAATTAAGTGAAAGAATATTGGCACTTTAATAAACAAATGGAACAATATACATGAAACAAGAGCTGTTTATATGGAACAGGGCTTTGCTCTTACAGAATTTGATAGGACTTCATTGCAAACTCTTCATGCTAGCTAGATCCACACACAATTTATGCATTTCATGGGTGTCCAAATATGTAGGTTTCTTCTAATGAGGTTCCTATTCAGATGTCAAATTTTGGTAGAAACTTTGCAAATCATTTAGTACAATGTTGTAATGTAAGAATTCAGAGATAATGATTAGCTCTATTATCTGTGATTTTAAAATGGAGTCAGGACAGTGTCCCATGGGTATGTGTATGTGTGTGTGTGTGTGTGTGTGTGTGTGTGTGTGTGTGTGTGCCTAAGGGGCTACGTAGATGAGATATTAGCTGTATCCATAATGTTTTCTTTCATAAGCTGTTGAAAGCAAACAGAACTAAATATAAAGTTTATTCTATATGGTCAGATTAGGGTACGATAGTATTCTTTGCACTTTCATATACCTTTTACATTTCTCAAAATACATAATGGTCTTACATGGATGAGAGCATCTACAAACCAGTCAAAATACTGAACAAGCTTAATCCTCACTAAGCTTTTACAAAATTACATTTAAAAATATGCATTATGTGTGGTTTTATTACTTTTGAGAAATATAGGCCAGTTGGTTTTTTTTGTATATGAAATATCCACCTATTTATTTATAGTATGTCTTTTTACCTAAGCTAATTCAGGTTTTTGTTTATTTAGCCAAAGATTTTCTAAGACACAAAATTTAAAGTCTTTTCTGATCACTGAAGGTAAGATAAAATCTTGAGCTCATTTATAGAAATCAGTAGGTAGAATAATGTTTTGACTATACTTTTACAATGTCTGTACAGTGAAACACCACAGAGAGTGCCCAAGATGTTTCATATAAACAACTTTAGTGTTCAAAATATCATATATACATATTTAGAACATAAATAATTTTATATACTATAAATAATAAGATCTTACTTTCATGTGGAATTTTTTTACTTTGCTTACATGAACAAAAATATAGATCTTCAAAGTAAGGTTACTTGTATTTGTTCATTTTTGTAAATGAAAGTTTGTTTTCATTTTGGGAGATGACAAGGTCAAGACAGAGCGAGAGGTGCCGCCATTTATTTATGGACGAGATTTTAAATGCCAGAACTTTCACTACAAAGAGAATCAATACTTTCATGTTCATGGAGGAATTGAGTTTGATATCACCACCCCTTCAATTGAGAATGCTTTGGACGATTTTAAGGTTTAAGTTATTGTTGTTTCTGAGATAGTTCCTTGTTTTGCAATACTTTTTCTCCTGTTTTCCAACCAGAAAGCGCTTCTGTCAATATAGGCACTATGTAGAGGTCCAGTGAATTGTTCTCACAACTCTCCTAAGTTTTTCAAACATTACTTTAACATAAATGAATTAGGAGCAGCTCTACCTAGGGAACTGTGTTGATGTTAGGGATAAAGTGATAGATAAGGTGGGTACAGACATCATGCTCACAGAATTTACAGACTTCTAATAGGCTATATTCCCCCTACAACAGTTTATCAAAATGTCTGATAGAAGCTGGGCGTGGTGGCACATGCCTGTAATCCCAGCACTTGCGAGGCTGAGGCAGGAGGATCTTTGCGAGTTCGAGACCAGCCTGGGGTACAAAGTGAGCTCAAGGCTGGCCTGAACTGCAGAGTAAGAGCCTGTCTCAAAAAGACCAAAAAAAAAAAAAGTGTGGTAGAAAATACTGAGCACTCACTATAAATAATCCTTCCCCTCTCCTCACAGACTAGCACTAGGAAAAGAGGCCCTTTAGGGTTTGAGAACAACAATCCTTCATCTGGAATTTCCTACAAACATGCATTTCAGCTGCCATTGCTTTTCTACCTCTACTACATTATTTTTCCTTTGTGGTTTTCCTTTATTTTCAAAGTAGGGATAGGATACATGCAGTTACTTTCAAAATTTTCTGGGATGTTACATTTACATTTTTCACTTAAATGTATATATTTTCATACAAAGGAAGTCTTATAATTATTTAGATTTGTACAAAGATGGCTTAGTAACATAATTAATATTTTAGACCAATTTAGAAAAAATACGGGAGTGTGCTGCTAATACATTTGCAGAAGATTTCGGATACAAAGAATATTACTCCATACCAGTGATGGAATTTTGTGGGAAAAGGTAAGGAACTTTCAGTACTTATTCACACCAGCCACATATTACTGAATGTTAGCAGAGAACATGGAACAAGAGCGCATCAAAATGCATCAGCTTTAACTTTGCATAGAGATCCTAGAAGCTACTTAAAACCTTGGGATGGAGACAGTAGAACACTAATGACCCCAAGAATGACATACTCCCTCGACAAAGCATGTATTAAGTGCTATAGTTATTACTTTCTGCACCTTGAGACCTTCTGCATAACAATCCTTAGAGTTTATAATTACTTTGTATAACTAACACCATGGTTACATCATGGGAGATGAGGATTAAATCTTGTGAGACAGCTGAAAGCAGCAGACTCAACACACACTTTTACTTCCATAAGGAATACGGTTTTAAAATCCTCTCCTCCCAAGTCTTGTTGTGCCTGTCATTTTCTTTTTGAAGTAGTACATTTCCTCCACGCAGTGTTGCTAACATATTTTATATGTTGTGTTCTTGGATTTTCACACCTTAAACACCAACTTTTGGAAACAAGGACTGTAGAGAGGAAATATTTCAATTAGCAGTGGGTATTTAAAAGCATATAAGGAAGTTTGTTTGTTTGTTTGGAAGGGATGGAAGTTAAGAGGATATGACCAAGTCTGGAACTCTGGAGAACAGTGACTTTTCAAGAGGGTAGGGAGAGGTAGAGAGAGGAGAAAGACAGCAAAGGAGACTGAGAGGGAAAGATAACAGATGGGACACTATAGCATGTAAGGTAAATATAGAAAGTTTTAAGAATACGGAAATAATTGAAGAGCTCCCTCCAAATATGGCTATAAACTGGTAAGAGATTTTGGTGGCTTTGGTTAAAGGAGGCTATTAGCCATGAGTTGAAGAATACAGTGGAGGGAAGTTAGTAAGACAGGAAGGTAAAGATTCTTAATTTCTTTCAAGATGCATGATAACGAGGAGAACAGAAGAAAAAAGGCGTAGAGAGTATCAGGATAGTGGATGAAAGATGGATTTTTCCCTGAAATTCTGCCTGGACGAACAGTTACTACCAGAGCTGAGGTCAAAGACCATATGGCACCTCTACAAGTCAGGACACAGGGACGAGTGACTGGCCCTACCGCTTAGTCTGGCGCTGTACCTGCAGGGTGTGCGTGAACACGGCCTTCACTTTGTATTGTTGTGGTGTGATGTTATGTTGTGAGGAGGGGTCATGGTTAGGGAGAATGATCCCTCCATCAAAGCACTGAGGTCTGTTAGATCTTAAAAATTAGGGTTGAAGTGGAGATCAAGGAGAGTATTGGCCTCTGATTAATTCATAACAGAGTGTTTCCCTAAGACTTTCCTGTAACTGATCCACGGGGGCCAGTTATTCTCCCTCAGCCACTGGGCAAGGAGTTTCCTTAGCATGCAGTCAGGAAATCATTCCCCCCAGATTAGTACTGTATAATGGAGCAAGTCTCTCAGCACTCCTAGGAAAACTGACAGTCCCCGAGGAGCAAAGCAAAGAGTCTTAGGAGAAGGGTGCTACTGTTAAGAATGTCGTATTGACGGTAATAAGGAGCTGCATCTAGAGGAAAAACCTAGGGAACATTGAGAGGCTCCCACTGATAGGGGCACTGGCAGCTGAAGTGCTTGCTCATCACTAAAATCTGGGCGTGGGGAGAGTACCTCAGAGGAGGTGGGGGAAGGCCACCATTTTTCTTTACCTGTGATGAGAAGCACGCCCAGGAAACACACTTACTCAGAATTGAATCACTCTTCTATCCCAGAGTGCCAGCGTCCAGGACTGTTGCGAGCTCCCCTCCTGGCCCGTGTCTCAGGGATCTGGCGGGTTGTGAGCTTCCTTAGTCCACGGCTGCAGTGAGTGAAAGCCGAGGAGCTGTTACCCAGAGCCTTATTCCAAGTCAGACTCAAGGGCAACAACCCTGGAGAAAGAAAATATTGGCATACCGAGAGGTGCATGAACCCAGATGATAACCTAGAGCTCCCTGAGCCAAGTCAGACTCAAGGGCAACAACCCTGGAGAAAGAAAATATTGGCATATCGAGAGGTGCATGAACCCAGATGATAACCTAGAGCTCCCTGAGCCAGGATTTGGGCTTCTAGAGACTTCTAAGCAGCACCCCTGTCTGGTATGGGAAAGACAGTCAATCCAAAGAGCCAATATGGAGAAGATACTTTTCATATCAAGACCTGATTAGTAGCAATTAGTAACTACGTCATTAATGTATTTACAATCAAGTACAATTTAAACTGCAGTTCTATACTTAATTATTATGGAAAAACCAAGTCTTGAGAGGTTTATAGGAAAAAAGTAGCAAATCACTTCAAAATTTGAAAAACTTTTTTTTCTTTATTTTTTATAGCTATTATGTGATCTATTTTGAACTTGAAATTTTCTATCAGCAACTGTATAAGACGCAGTGGTGGGGAGCCATAAATGAAATAGTGAACACTCTGAGGGTGAAAAGACTTCCACTGACAGATGCTCAATTACACGAACAATTTAAGAAAAAATTTGGCTTCAAAAAAGCCATGAAATGCAAGGTATTTCAGTGACTATCACATAACTCAGTGTAAGAAGTTACATATTGTCAATAAGTATATGTCTCCAATTTTTATCTCAAGGATAAATAAGAGGTTAAATAAAATGTTCAGTATGATTTAAAATCCCGCATTTTACTAGCTGAAAGCTATACTGTTCCATATGACAAACTTTTGGCATGGTTTGACTGCTATTTCCTTTCCATGTGTTTGTTTTAAAACTTTAATAGCTAGTTTATTTTTCAAATATCTAGTAGACGGAATGCGTAAGGAGCAATACTTCTATCTCTCTATTTGGAGACCTAAAGAAGACAAACTGTTTCCATACTATACACTTCAAGTTTCTAGATATCTAAGTTTTCTTTAAATAAGGAAAGGAACCCAGTGATCTTCGTTTGTTTTTAAAGTATTTCAGAAGGTTTTTTCTACTCTGTTTTGTCTGCAAAGAAGGGTCTGTAACTTATTCTTTAAAAATGAAAAAAAAAAACAACTTTCCAAATATATTTCTAAAGTCTTAAGTATTTCCTAATATAGTAGCTATGACAACTTTAAGCACTGCCTAGTGAGGAACTTACTACCTTGATCATGTGAAATTTTCTACTGTAGTTGAACAGCAACCGTGTGATTTGTTTAACATATTTTGAGTCCTTTTTGCCTCAAAGCCAATTGTAGGCAGTTTTAATAGTAACTGTTTAAAAACTAATTCTGACCTTCTTCATGATTTCAGAGTATACCATTTGGTCTGAAGTCTGCTGTTGAGAGAGGGCTATCAGCGGTTTTCCACACATTTAGCCGTAAAACCTCAAGCTCCACCATCAATGTCTCGGATGAAGCAGGCTATGCTATCTTCCACCATGCTGCCCTCCACAACAGAATTTCCATCATATGTCATCTGTGTGATGCTAACTTCAACATCAACCAGAGACGCTTTGTTATGTTCAGCCAAGGTACCGTAAATCATTTAACTCTAAAATGTTTTCCTTATCCTTACCCCTTATTCCACATGAAGAATACCTGTTATTTTAAAGCAAGCTTAAAATTTTGTGTCTGTATCTTAAGTAAAATTGAGGGTTTTGTTATCTAAGAAGTGCTCCTTTTAGTTTTAGTAAGTACCAATTGTTGCTGGCTTATCTAAGTATCAATTGTTGCTGGTATCATATTTGTTTGTTTTGTCTCCCTTACTTGAATATTAGATCCATAAAGGGTAAGGATTTGCTCTACTTTGTTTGCCATGGTAAGCTAGTGTTCAGAAGAAAGCCTGGAATTAGTAGTTGCTCATGAAATATTTGTGGAATAAATGAATGTAGGATAGAATCTAGTAAGCACTAGTACAATTAATATATAGTGATGTCCTATAGAAGTTCAGAGAAAGGAAGGATGACTATGACCATTAGGTCCTGGTAGAATATTCTTATCTTATTTCAGCGCTCTAAACTAGGAACTAGTTTCTTTATAGTACACATATTTAATAATGAAAATATTCTTTTGTAATACTGTCTATGATTAATATCCCCTTTAAGGGTAACCTAATTTAAACTTTGTAAAGCCATTTTTTCTGATGGACAAATATGCATACATGTTTTTACATCCACTAGGATAAATTTAAGTACCATAAAAAATAAAATTATAAATGAAAGTAGAGAGATTGTCAGGATAGAGATAAGTTGTCAGGAATGGGTGGTACAACAGTGTCAACAATAAGAAATGGTGATTTTATATTTTAATTAGATCAGCTACTTTATGAAGCTGTGTTAATTTTTTGCACCCACAAAAATAAAATGTTGTACTTTAATCCTGCCTACAAGTGAAATTCGAACTCCAGCAGTGTGACTAAAACGCCTTAAAGTATGGAGATTTGTCTGTCAGTTGCAATATTCAGTTCAGAATAAACCTAGTTAAAATAATGTGGGATTCAGTCAAATCCAAATACAGTTTTTAACCTGTTATTTAAACACGTATTATCTTTAAATTTTTTTTTTAGTGTGAACAGAACCTTTGGTAAATTAAAGTCTCCCACTGATCCCTTGATTTCTTGGATTTCCATTTGTTGATGATTGGGTAGATTTTGATGTATGGAAAATGTATAAATCTACTAGTAATATTATTGCTTACTCAGCATGAAATTATACCAGCTGTGAGTTTTAGAGGCCACTGGAGAGGCAGAGTTTCCGGGTCTGCTTTGATTGTAGCATCAGGCGCAAGCAATACGCCCACGTGGCTTGACCAAAAGTCAGCCTGAGTACTATTTGATGTAATCTATACACTGTCATTTTGTTCTATTCAGAGGAGTCTTTTGACTAATGTGGGAAACTGCTATATACTAATAATCACGCTTCTATGTGTGTTCCCTTTTAAAACAGAATCATCCAAAATGGAAGTGAAAAAAGAAAGAAATGGTAAGACGTAAGTAAAATGGCTGGTGTGCTTCCAAAGACTATGGCATGTGTTACAACTTCTCTTAGAGCACACAGTCTGCAAAACATTCTGTCACATGAGTGTCCCATAATGATGTTTCATATTGTTTGAAGTATATTTTTTCTAATCATGGTTATTTGATTTTCTTCTTTCATTTTTTCCTTTTCTTAACTGTGAAATTTGCTGCTCCCTCTATTTTTATAAATTCAGATCCCCCAAAATGGTTTTTACACCTTTAAAAATAAACAATTAATGCAGGTTAGATCCTTGGCCATCTAGGGGCAATATCAGTCTCTGAGGTCTGAGACAGGGTCATCCCAGGGGTCTTGTCACTCTTCCTCAGAATGCAGAGAGCGAGGAATTGAAAAGATCAGATTTACATTTTGAAAACTGTGAATGGGGGAAAGATCATAAAAGGTAGAGATAACTAGCAGCTGAGGTGATTATGACTTGGGTCAAGGTGCTGCTGACCATAGAGATAGGCTCCTGAGATTTCTAGACCTTGGGGATGGATTCATTCTAGAGATAAAATGAAGACAGGGGCTAAGGAGTATTCCAGGTTTCTGTTTTGTAGAACTGGCTAGATCATAATGTCTCTCACTGATTTAGTGAGCAAAGAAAGAAGACCAGCTGTGGGAGGGGAGACAGGAGTTCTACTGTGGATGTATTAAGAGTGAGGGGAAAAAAAAAAAAAAAGGGTGAGGGGACATGTGAAGCTACTTAGCTGTGGGTAACAGAAATCTGGAGCTCAGAGAAGGTATCAGGCATCATGTGGGAGTCATAAAGTTAAAGGTGGTAAGTGAGGCCGCTGAGAAGAGAAAAAGGCCCAAGACAGCTTTAGGGCGCATTTGGACATGAGGGCAGTGAGAAGGTCCCCAAGGAGGCTGCAAAGGAGAAAAATAGGGAGCACAAGATCACAGGAGTCAAGAGAGGTAACAATCTTAAATAGGAACTAGCGGCTACCAGTACAAAAATACTATTCGGAAGTAAGATGAGAATTTGCAAATGGTCACTGAATTTAATGACAGGGAAGCCTTTTGCAAATTTTTCCAATTTCATGCAGTCTTCTACCCACAAAATATTGGAATAAAATGGAAAATAATTCAAATAAGAAATAGCTTATTTTCTCATAAGGCTATTTTATATATTCACTTAAATTTTCAAATATTTAATATCTTCAATGTTGTATATATTTATTCACTTAAAAGGTATGATATTTTTGTGATCAGACATCTGAATTAAAGAAATACAGGATTGCCTAATTCATTATTTTAGTGCTTATCTTAGAGACTTTATGTTGTATAACACTAAGCTATGTGGTTGGATGCCAAAAAGGCATGTTTTTTAGGAGCGTTAATTCTTTGACCACTGCGGTAATCTCCCTCCCATCCTAGGTCCGACTCCTCTGCACCTGGCTGCGCAGGCTTGCTCGTTGGAAAGCACCATCTGTCTACTTTCTTTCAAAGCTGATTTTACACTTTCTGAAAAAAGAGGCTGGATGCCAATCCACTTTGCCGCTTTCTATGATAACATCAGCATCATCATTGTTCTCTATAGGAAGGATCCTACTTTGCTAGAAGCAGAGGCGACCGCTGAGTAAGTTATTAAGCATGGTATTATAAGGATACAAATTTCTACATGCATGGCTTTCCCTACACATCAACACTGAAAGACACACTTTGTTATGGGTGACTTGATGTCCTTTCTGGTTACTGTCTTCCCCTACCATGTATCTTCAGAATTCATCAAGACAAGAGCTTCAGTCAAACAATGCACATTTTCTGGAAGAATCAGGAGTGAGCCACTGGGACTTGTTCCTACCCCTGTTGCAGCCATACTGTTCCACAGGATGACTGGGAAGAAGTGTAGGACTAAGGAGTAGGAAGTTGCTCAGCATTGAACCCTGTACCACCAGCAGTTAGCCCAGGGCTCCAGACCAAAGTGGATGGAGCTTGTAATGCAGAATAAGTATCTAGAGATATCTGATGTAATCTGCATGTTGTCATTTTGTTTATTCGTAGGAGTCTTTTGACTAATGTAGGAAATTGCCATGTACTCATAATCATGCTTCTATGTGTATTACAGTAAAAGAGAAAGAAAATTTTGAAGTAAGAAAGTGTCTGCAAACGTCTTTTGTTGTACAATTTAAGTGCAGACCAACCTTTGGGACAGAGGTCTAACTTGCCCTGAAGGTACATCCTTGTCTAGGAATCTGAAGAACACGTGTGACTCTTTTGAACCTCTGAATCTGACTGTGGCAGAGTTTCATGCAGGTTTTTCTATGTCTTCAGATATTATCAGTCTAGGGCTAGCATAATTGTTTGAGTTTCTTACTCAGTGGTCTATGGGCCAGCATCATTATTTCACAGTTTATTATTCAATGGTCTAGGGCTAGTATAATGGTCTGACAGTCCAGGACACTGACTTTCTCTTACTGCTCTTTGACATGGCTTTTACATCATGATACAAATGCAATTCCTGCTTCTATTATCATAACTATAGATAGCAAGAAAAAATATTGGCACTCTCTGTTCTCTTTAGGCAGTTGCCCTTGTAACTTCCACTAACACAGTGGCCAAATTTGGTTGTATGGCCATACCTATCTGTGAAACAGGTTGGGAAATGTAACATTGGGCTGGATAAGCACGTGCCCAACCAAAAGATTTTCAGTGTCTAAAAAGCAGATAGTAGATATTAAAAAAAAAAAAAAAACAAAAACAAAACCCTCTTCGTTTCTACCACAATTAGGCAGCTAGGATTTGAAATTTGGAAATGAAATGTGAAGAGATAGGTTTGACTACTACTTAAGCCTCAGTTTCATCATTTGTGAAATGGGCTCACATGTGCTTTGCTTTTTTACTTTAATCAGGGTTGTTATAAGGGCGAGACAGGACAGTCTCAGTATATTCTCTCAGTATATTCTAAGGGTTTTGTGTATCATCAACTCCCAAAGAAATTAAAAAGCATGCCAATCAAGTCAGGAAGGAGCTGGGAACCTATACAGCCAGACAAGAGACGCAAATGTGTTCCGCAGGGAATACAAGGGTGACACTCACTAGGAAGAGACAGTGATGGTATCAATCAGAGTTCCTACAACAGTAAGTTGAATGGCGTAACGAAAAGTCAGTTTGATGCTCTGTGTGTACTCAAATGTTCTTATAGTGTATTCCTTGATTTTTAGGAATCAGTGCACTCCACTTTTACTGGCTGCCACTTCAGGAGCTCTGGACACGATTCAATACCTATTTTCTCTTGGTGCCAACTGGAGGAAAACAGATACTAAAGGAAACAATATAATTCATCTGTCAGTGCTAACCTTTCACACGGAAGTACTTAAGCATATAATAGAGTTAAATATTCCTGAACTCCCAGTTTGGAAAACGTTAGTAGGTGAGTATAGAACACACAATTTCCTTGTGAATAAATGCTCTGATTATCATGAAATAAACAATTTATGAGTTAAAACAGAAACAAACATACAAATGATAAAGAACTATAGTTTTGTGCACAGAATTAGTTTTTCTAAGTTAAAACAAAAAAGTGGGTGACAGTTTTATATAACTATACTTTTTGTTTTTCAAGCTTTCTCAAAAGTGAAGTCATCTTCGCTACCATCAAAAAGTAACTAAAAAGAAAGGAAAGGAGGAAATGATTTTAGGTAGAAAAGATGTCTTCGAATACATTTATTACCTCCTAATTTTAGAGAAAATTTCAGCAAAATAATTCTTCATATTTTGATAAGTATTTTGTGAAAAATTTGGTTTAACTTCTCCCCCCAAGTTTGTGTTTAATCTAGCTAGAAATTTGAGGGTAAATGTTATGTGGCCAACTAAATGTATGCATTTAATTTTATTCCTTTCTGAGACCTCACTAAAACTGCATGAAGATTAAGTAATAATTTAACCAGTAGCAGTAGCCAAGCATACAAAGAGAAAATGAGAAAAGATATAGTAACAGCAAAATCTTAGACACAGATTCAGATAGGCAAGTGTTAGGACTTAGCTGACCACACAAAAGCCTTCCAAGCCAACCGTGGAAAAGCAGAGAGCTCCTCAGAGTCACACTTGAGAAATGGCAGCACCAATCAGAAGTGCTCTACTTAGAGCATCCTCAGGAAGAACTTAAGGGCACTGAAGCTGGAATTCTCCCTCACCAACAGACGATAAAAGGACCCAGGAAACTAGATGTCTCACCAGGAAAAAAGCAAAGAGAACTTCAAGAGAGTCAGGAAAGAGAAGTTCCAGAATGGAACTGTGAACCTAACAAAAGATGTGGGAAAAGGACCCAAAGTGGTTATATCTGGAGAGATGAACCCAAAGAAGCAGGGAGGGTGGGGTCACAAACCACGATATGTTGCTATAACCCTTTGGGTGATACTTAACTCTGAACCATGCAGATGACATAAAAACTAATTAAAGCAAACAGAGAAGAAAAAGAGCTGGAGAGTGAGAGCTGCTTTTTTCCACCAGCTCATTTTCGACAAGATATTTTTAAGATTTTTAGTCGCATTTTACTGGTCCAAGAATTCTAAATATTTGGCTTCAAGACAGGCTCAGTACCAATCTTGGAACTTGCTGAGAGCTGGGAATGTATTTTGAGTACATCAGCCTCAAGAGATGCTGGAAAGTATTTGTAATGTTCACTTATATGTATACAATTATATACATATGTGTGTGTGTGTGTGTGTATATATATATATATATATATATAAATTATATTTTAGCCTTTCTAGGAGGGCTGAGGATCCTCATGTTATTTTTAATACAGCTGAACCATTGCAAACATCTACTTTAAGAGTAGAAAATCTGGCCCTAACAATATTTTAATGACACAAAAACACTCACTGGCCAATGCTTCATACAGCCATTGTTGGGAAGTTCTGATAATGATTTGAATAGATCTGGCCCCGCTTCTTTACTTTTACCCTGGAATGGCTCTACCTCCTGATACTGCCCACTATGGGAAAAAAAAAATTAGTTTACTAGAGTCTCCAGGATTAGCCCTGGGAGAGGAAGCTGAGTTTTTTTTGTTTTGTTTTTTTCCAGTACAGGGAATCGAACTCACAACCTTGCACTTGCCAGGCAGGTGCTGTGCTGCTGAGCTAAATCCCCAGCCCCTGAGGAAGTGAATTGTAAGAGTGCACCATGAAGTGACCTAGCCAACATAGCATCAGGACGAATTTGGTAATAGGCTAGATGGGTAAAGAGATGAAGAATAGATACACCCATGGACTTTTCGCTTATACTCCAGACATTGTTTATGAGAAGGCATATTTATGTTATCGTTGATCTGAAGTATAAATTCATGCAAGATTTTTAAAAATATCTTTTTCACACCCAGAACATATGAAAAGCCTCTTATCTAATTTAGTGAATACTAAAATTTATTAGCAATAATGTAATTTACTTTACTATCCTTTAAAACCCATACTCAAACTTGATTCAAAACTGATTTCAGACACAAGAGACTTATTATTATTATTATTATTATTATCATCATCATTATTATTTTGCCTTTTTGAGACAGAGTTTCGCTATGCAGTTCAGGCTGGCCTTGAACTCACAAAGATCCTCCTGCCACAGCCTCCCGAGTGCTGGGATTATAGGTGTGTGCCACCACACCCAGCTCGAGACATATTATTTTGCAAGTGAATTCTAACTTTGTTTCCAGTTAAAGCCATTCAGATCAAATAATTTCAGGATTGTTTTTCACTAATTATATACATCACAAGGCTCAAAGATCCCAGACATATATTGTGTTAGTTACTGCAACAAATACCTGAGATACGTGAAGAAGAAAGGTTTATTTTTGGCTCCTAATTTTGGAGGTTTCATCCCGGATTGTGCAGCCCCATTGCCTTTGGGCCTACGGTGGGGTAGCACATTGTGGGAGGAATCACGGCAGAAGAACCCCCTCACCTCATGATTGAGTGTGGGAGAGAAAAGAGAAACGGAGGGGTAGGAGCAGTGTCCCACAGTCCGCAAGGGCGTGCCCCCGTGACCCACAACCTCCCAGTAGGTTTCACCTCTGCCACCTCCTGATGACATCAATGTGGAGACTATGTCTATACAAACGGTCCCAGTGGGGGAGCTTTGAGAACTGAACTATGACACACACAGTCTGTTCAGCATGTGTTAGACAAAGGGCCATTCATCATGGGGAGTTTAATGTATGCAGCTGGTGGTCCTTGCAGTGACCCCGGTCCTCGGGCTCACTTTCCCTGCACAGAAACAAAATGCACCATGCCATTACCTGCTACGTCAATTTCAGCTTGTGTTTTTCTACTGAATGCTTACAGAAATGCTGCAGTGTGAGAACTTTAAACGAAGGATGATGGCTGTCATGTCCTTAGAAGTAATTTGCTTAGCGAATGATCAATACTGGAAATGTATTTTGGACGCAGGTAGTTCAAAGTCTATGTATTAACTATATTTTTCCCATGCTATTTTAAGCAGAGCTGTTTTGCTGGCCAATTGTGTGTGTGTGTGTGTGTGTGTGTGTGTGTGTATTTGGTGCCAGGGACTGGACTCAGGGCCTCGTGTATGCACAGCGCACACTCTACCACCAGCCCCAAGATACATTTGTGATTGTAAAAAAAATCTTTTTAGTTCATTTTCAACTTCTTTTCCTTTTTTCCTAAGATCATCTCCTTTTTCTTTCAATCATTTATTTTCTATTTGGCAGCTGTTTAGGATTAAAAATCTGAATAAATTTTAGAGAAATTCTATTTCCCTAAAAGCTTACAAACTTAGACACTGATATTAAATTACTTTAACACACTGCTCTTATATTTACTTTTATTTAGAAATGATCCCTATTCTGTACTCACACAATTTCATTTTCTAAAGGGAAATAGCAGAGTAAGTGCCTGGCCAGATCTGTAGCTAGCTCTGAATTTGCAAGTTTAAGTAATTACTTAGCCTCTATACCGCAGTTTCTTTTCTTTTTTTTTTTTTTTTTTTTAACCCCAGTTTCCTCATCAATAAATGGTTCAACTTCAAAGGGTTGTTGAGAACAGTACCGCCCAATTTAACCTTCTGAAATCGTGCAAATGTTCTCTTCATACCACCCAATGTGGACACTGAGAGCATGTGGGATACTCCATAAATAATGCTGAATAAATAAATAAATGAAGTAACATTTATTTAATTGTAGGTATCCCTCTAATGTATCCCTAAAAGCATGTACAAAAAGCTCTGTGTCCGAAAAAGTGAACCACAGACTTAAATCTTGAAGGATGCTTCATTTCACAAATAAATGAGTAAAGCCATTTAGTTCTACCATTCTCTTTTCCATCAGTCTGTGTGTTGTAGAGCAAGCTCTTGTTATTTCACATTGAATTGATGTAAATATAACAAGCATCCCGCTGACGCCGAATTTTCTGTTTTCAGCCCACCCAGTGATTTCAGTCTTTGAAGCAAGTGTAACTAACGAGGCTACTGTGCATTTTGTTAGATTCAGCTACTCTGTCTTTTCACTTGCTGGTATAACATAGGGACAGAATGTAATAAAAAATATTGAAATAATTGCACAAACACTAGCACACAAAGTTGATGCGATAACCAGAGCTAAACTCTACCACCCGGTTACTCAAATAATTTATCACTGATGTTAAATGAAAACTCAGGGTTATAAAAATAGCTTCAGGTTACCAACCCTCGGGGTATGCTTGTGGCTGTGAAATCAGATGTGTGAAAAGTGAGAATTGCTTGTAGTACAGACTAGACAAAGACATGTATTTATGTAATTTCAAGTGATTATTTTTATACGTAGAGAATTACTTGCTAGTCTCTACAATGCCCATAAACATGATTTAAACCTTGGCGTGATAAGTTGGCTGTAAATGATTACAAGATGTCATGACTTTTCTTGTCTTTTGTGTACAGGCACCATTCCTGCCTTAATCAACCTATTAAAAAGTCCCAAAATAAAGTTACAGTGCAAAACAGTTGGGTTACTGAGCAATATCTCCACCCACGTAAGTGTCGTGCATGCCTTGGTAGAGGCAGGCGCTATTCCGGCACTGATCAACCTCCTGGTTTCTGATGAACCTGAACTGCACTGTCGCTGTGCTGTCATTCTGTACGACATTGCTCAGTATGGAAACAAGGATATTATCGCCAAATTCGTGAGTGTTTTTCAGAGAACCCCAGTTTTGACTGATAGTAGTTCCCTCACATAGAAGTTGGCAAGAGACTCATGTTATTATCCAGGGCCAAAACTCTTAGGGATCAACAGAGAAGGGGAGAACGGGGTGGGGTGAAAAATATTTCACGAAGAAGTTGGCATTTGGGTAGTGGTGGAGCACTACCTAGTATGTCTGGGGCCTTGGGTTCTGCTTCTTCACTTTTTGTTTTATTAGTACATGTTTGCAGCACATAACGTTTACACCCCTTGTATGAAGTTGGTACAGGTACGTAACACATCTCCATTCCTTTTTGTATCCCCAGTCCTTTCCTTCCCCGCCCCTTCCCTCCGTCTCCTGATCCTCTTGCCCTTGAGAAAGCGCTCTCTCTCTCTCTCCCTACTTCCTTATATCTATTATTTTGTTCTTTATTTCTCATATAAGAGTAATCATGTAATATTTAAGGTTGTGTGTCTGTTTTATTTCATAACATTATGGTCTCGAGATGGATCGATTTTCCCACAAATGACTCAAGTTTATCTTTCTTTATGGTGGAATAGTACTCCACTGTGTGTAATACCATGTTTTCTTTCTTCATTCATCTGTTGATGGACATATAGGCCCTGGGTTCTAGCCTCACCACCACCAAAAGAAAAAAGGCATTGGAGTATAACCCTGAAGTAGAAAAGGAGGAGTTCTTCATATGTTAGTATATAGTGTTGGTTTCTTGCTGTTTATAAGACGATGTTATAAGAAATAATAACAAGCTGGGTATGGTGATACACTCCTATAATCCGAGCACTCTGGGAGGCTGAACCAGGAGGATTGAAAGCTCAGCCCCAGTTTGGGCCACTTTGCAATTTAGTGAGATACTGTCTCAAAATAAAAATTTAAAAGGACTGGCTATGTGGCTTAGTATGAAAGCCTTGGGTTCAATCACCAGACCAGGAAAGGAAAGAAAGAAAAAAAAAGGAGACAAGAAAGGAAGAAAGGAAGGAAGGAAGGAAGGAAGGAAGGGAGGAAGAAAGAAAGAAAGAAGGAAAGAAAGAAAGAAAGAAAGAAAGAAAGAAAGAAAGAAAGAAAGAAAGAAAGAAAAAGAAAGAAAAAAAGAAAAAGAAAGGAGAAAGAAGAAAACCATTTTAGTCATTGTTGTTCTGGCTGATAAATGCTATCTAATTGTGTACCAGAAGGAATTACAAGAAAATTATTTTAGTGATGTATTTCCATACTGTATTTTCTCATACAAAATCTATCATTAAATTATATCTTTTAGTATTTTAAGATTTTCTGAGTTACTTATAAGTGAAGTTTGTTTACATGATTTTTTCAGTTTTACGTATGTTCCTCACTGAGGATTGAGTCTTTTGCATTATAAAATGTACATTTTCACTAAGGTTAGTACTTTGGTCTTGAATTCCACCTCATCTAAAACTGTATTTGTGTTATTTCCTTTGTGATCTTATATTTAGTTTGCATTTTTTCATCCACCTTAACTTCTGAGTTAACAATTTTAGTTGTGTTTGTTCTCATTCATTTGGAAAATCTATCAGAAATACCTCAGAGTTAGCCAGTCTTATCCATTTAGACCTCATCGTGTTCAGTGATTCTGGTAATTAGAGTTAGGTAAGTGTATCCTTTGTATGCAATGCATGCAGTTTTGCTGTTGTCACTTTTTATTATCTCGCTTATGCTTGTTGATATGCATGTTATCTTAGTTCTGATCAGTGTTTTCTTATCTTTGAAGTCCAGATCTTACATATCCATATTGATTACCCTATTCTTCCTGGTACTTGGTGTATCTTTTCAACAGATCCATTTATATCACTTTAGTTTGAGGATGTTTCTTGAATTCGTATCTTTAAATATCTTTTTTGTAGTATTACTTCAATCCATTCATGCAACAAATGTTTATTGAAAGATTATTATGTGGTAGATAGAATCATGGATCCTAGGCTTATGGTAGTGAATAGTCCCAACTTCTATATGAAGTTTTTATTCTAGTTGAGGGCAACAAGACAATAAATGAATAAGTCAAACAAATGGAATGATAGATGAAAATAAGTGGTAAAAAGGAAACTAAAGCAGGGAATGGTGTGAGGGGAAACTTGGTGAATATATAGACTGTGTTGGTAGGAACTTGGTTCCAGGATCCTCACAGATACCAAAATCTGCAGATCCTCAAGGCCCTCATATATAAAATTGTGTATTTTCATACAATTTATGCATACCCTTATGCATAATTTAAATCATCTTGAGATTATTTGTAATACGTGCTACAATGTAAATGCTATGTAAATAGTAGTTGTGATGTATGGTGTACGGAATAATGACAACCTCTTCTGTACAAGTTCAAGTTTTTTCCCAAGTATTTTTGATTCAAAAATACTTACTGAATTATTTGAATCCACAGATGTGGAATCCAGGGATATGGAGGGCTAAGAGGCTGGCTTTTGACTATCGTCCTGAAGTAGATGAGCACTGTAGAACCTCTTCCATACATTTTCCTGTTGATAAGAGCACTCTAGGCTAAGAATATAAATGCAAAATGAATGAAGTAGGAGGGTGCCTGACATTTTGAAGGAATAGCAAGAAAGCCAAGGTAGCTGAGGGAATACAACAAGGAGACAGTCATGCAGTGAGGGGCCACATCGCATAAAGCCACATAGGCACATTTCCTCAATGTGTTAGGAAACGGTTGAATGGCTTTGGTCTAAAAAGTTTCCTGAAGAGATTTATATCTCTCTACTTTGTTTAAATAGGTAGGTAAAAATGATGCAGTAAAATTAATCAAGAAGCAGTTGCAGTGATTTAGATGAAATAAAATAGTATATTGAACCATGATGGCAACAGTGGAAATGATGAGAAGTGGTGATATTTTTTATTATCTTTTAAAAACTGAGCCACTTCATGATACAATGAAAAAAAAAAAACTGATTCACTAGGACTTGTAGAAAAGTTGCAGGGAACCAACAAGACTAAGAAGAAATAGCCAACCTGAAGAATCTGTTGACCTATCAGTTACTGCAAAAAAGTATTTTAAGAAACTGAATATGCTCAATGATGATTAATACCGTTGTAATATGAAAATCAAACATTGAATATTGAAAATTTTGAGCATTGAATCACTAAATTTGTTGATCAGTTCTCTATCCTTGTCTCAAAAATTCTTTTTCTAGCTCTGGTGCCTCTCCTATGTACTCTTGTTTTATAATGGTGATTGTTTCACTTTTCATTTAATCATATGACACATTTTGTTGCAATTTTTATCTACTTCATGGCAAAATTTTTCTGATGAATATTTATTTTATTCTGTACCTACCAATATAAGAAAACACCACAGATTGGATAATGTATAAACAACAAAATGTATTTATCATCATTCTAGAGGCTGAGAAGTCCAAGATCAAGATGCTAGAATGTTCAGTGTCTGGTGAGGGTTGTTGTCTGCTTCCAAGATGGCACCCTGTCATGTCCTCACATGGTAGAAAGAAGGACAAAAGAACCTAGCTATTTCTTTCCCACTCTTTTATAAGATCACTGATCACCTAAAGGCTTCTATCTCTTAAAATGGTCACAGTGGGGTTTAACTTCCTACAGATGAATTTTGGAGAGACACATACATTCACACCATAATATCTTTCTTCATCTGTCATATGTTTTTCCTATTTTTTCTTAGATTTGGACAGGTTCTGTACAGATTCTTTTCATATCATTACTTGTCTTCTATAGGTGAGTTCTTTCTGGCTCAGCTATTTTGCAGGAAGTAGATGAGGGAAAGGGCATAGAACAAAGTTCTAGGCTAGTAAAATTATTTCTTATGCCATAGGGTTGTATGCATGAGTCCTTCTATCTTTACTTTTCCCTAGCCATAGAAATTAGTGGTGCATGAAACTTCAAAAGAGGATATTATCTTTTCCACAATGTAAAAACTCTGTCTCTTCCTTTGTAACCTCTCCAGTGGGCTATTTCTTCCACTCTTTTCAGCATGATTCCTTGTTCATCTTTTCTCTCTGGTTTTGAAACTTTATGCTCAACAGGCCTGGGAAAGAGCCTGCTGCTACTCTAAGTATTAAAAATGGGGAATTGGGTTTCTTTTTCTGCCCTTCAAAGTCAACTCAATTATATTTGGAAAACTGTGCTCTACCGGTTGTTCCTATGGTCATTGGCTAGAGGAGATCTCTCCCAAGCGCACTGGCAACTCATACACGTTTATTATATTTCAATATTGCCAATGTTTTCTAGCTTTATTAAGAAAGGGGTTGTATTTCTTTCACTCATTGCTTGATATCCTTGCATTCTTTCTGTTGGCAGGGACAAATGCCATCTTCATGCCATTAAAATGAGCAAATTATATTCACATTTAAAAGTAGTACTTGGTGTGGCACAAACATAATTACTAGTTACCACTGCAGTGTTCACAATGGCAAATGCTTCCAAATGGAGTAATGTACAAGTATATTCAATTACTCTCAGCCAGTTGCTTCACTTCTTAGATATTTATTAAATGCTACAATGAACTTGCAGGCTCAAAATGCTTTAGTTGCCATTTTCAGATGTATTTATTGAATATTTACTTTTTATGAAAATGTAAGATTTGTTTAAAATGGTATTAACTATCATTTAATGTGCTATAACAGTACACATATTTGTTTACAGACCATTGTTCTCTCTTAATTTTTTGAGACAGGGTTTTGCTTTGTAGTTCAGGCTGGCCTTGAGCTTACTCTACAGCCCAGGCTGGCCTCAAACTCACAGTGATCCTCCTGCCTCAGCCTCCCAAGTGCTGGGATTACCTGGCTTGTTCTCTCTTAAATAAGCAGATATTTACTGCAAGAAAAGCAATAGATTTGTATTTCTAAGCAAGCAAACATTGTATATATCGTATATCAATTTAAGTAATTTTTTGTTTATTTTTAGAATGGAATCCCAGCTCTGATAAATCTCTTGACATTAGATATGGAAAACGTGCTAGTAAATGTAATGAACTGTATACGAGTATTATGCATAGGATATGAAAATAATCAAAAAGCAGTGAGAGACCATAATGGCATCAAACACCTTATTAGATTTCTGAGTAGTGATTCCGGTGAGCCTCTACCTCTGTGAAATTTAAAAGGGAATAGATTTATTAAGTGAAATAAACATGGATTTGGGCTTGTCCTGGATTTGCCTTTAAATGGACCTAGAAATGCACAAGTATGACTCAAATATCTGGAACCTTTAAATTTAAACTACTGAGTTTATAAAAGGATTCAACTCTCGAAAGTATTGTTTTTAAAATATTTAATTAAACATGTTTATAAATAGAAATATTGACAAGAATAGCGAAACAAAGCAGATAATGTGCTCAGAGGAGTAGAAGTCTCCAGTGTGACTAGCACACATACTGATCATTAATGGTACATTTAGAAAACCTGAAACCTGGGGAAATGTTTTAATGTCATTCATTTGTTTTTTATTTTTTGTCTTTTTTATTTTAAAGAAAAGAAAAATAAACAGTAAAAACAATGGTATAAAATTTCAAAACAAGATTAAAGTAGAGTAACCATGGTCAGTACATTGAGTATTGTTATCCTCAAAGTAGCTGCTCCTGTTACAAGACAGGCATGAAAAATTGATCAGACAACACAGGCATAAACCTTTCCTTTCAATGAGCTAACGGGAATTAGTAGTATAGCTATTTATTGTGTGTGTGTGTGTGTGTATATATATATATATATATTTTTTTTTTTCCTTTTCCCTTCCTTCTTTTCTCCTTTGCTCCATCCAGTTTCTCTAACTTGTTTTTTAATTCATTGGAAGATGTGCTGCAGGCTGTGTCTTCCGCCACGATAGCTGAAGTCGCACGTGGCAATAAGGCAGTTCAGGACGCTATTGCTCAGGAAGGAGCGATCCCACCCCTGGTAGCGCTTTTCATAGGAAAACAACTGAGTGTCCAAGTGAAAGGTGCAATGGCTGTGGAATCCCTGGCGAGTTACAACCCTCCTATACAGAAGGCCTTCCTGGAACATAAATTAACTAAGTATCTTTTAAAACTCCTAAAGGTATGAATTTTATCATTGCGGGCCTTTTTTTTCCCCTCAGATGACTTATTCCATTTTGAAGTTTTAGTGAATAAAATACCAAAACCAATCCTGGAATGAACATTTTATAAAACGTGCATCCCTAAAGCATGCTGTAAGTGCTCACTGAGTTCATTGAATGTTTTCAATAGGCATTTCAAGTAGATATTAAGGAACAAGGAGCCATAGCTCTTTGGGCTTTGGCAGGACAAACACTGAAACAGCAGAAGTACATGGCGGAACAGATCGGATACAACTTCATCATAAATATGCTTTTGTCACCATCTGCCAAAATGCAGTATGTTGGTAAGTTTCTTTCTATACACAAATCTGCACAAGGTCCCAGGGCAAGGGAGCATTCTACCTCTCTTCCTCTTTTTTTCTTTACTTTTCTTTAAACCAGGAGGTGAGGCAGTCATAGCTCTAAGTAAGGACAGCAGGATGCATCAAAATCAAATATGCGAAGGCAATGGAATTGCACCACTGATTCGCTTACTAAGAATTCATAAGATAGCCGAAGGCACGCTTCTCAGCGTCGTCAGAGCAGTGGGGTCCATTTGTATCGGTCGGTATACTTCTTCTCAACTCCTTAAATAGCTGTAAGAGAAAGAAAGCTCACAGGGAGAGAGACAGAAGCTAATCTCTTCTCCACCCCCACCATCAGAGCCCTTAACTGTATTTAATCGCTAAAAAATGCATAAAAATTTCTCCAAGACATTTGTGAGTAAAATCAGTGTAAAACCGTAATTTTTTTTGTTTTTTCTCCGGTACCAGGAACTGAACTCACGACCTTGCGCTTGCCAGGCAGGCGCTTTGCCGCTGAGCTAAATCCCCAGCCCCTAAAACCGTAATTTTGTATCAGTCTTGTTCTTGAACTCTGCATAGAATGGAAAATGAAGACAAGAGGCTTAAGTATTGACTTAAAAGAGTTTTTAACTTGAGAAAAAAATTTTTTTTAGATTTCAAGCACTGTATGTGTTTATACGTCTAGATGTTTCAATGCTGGGGCATAGTTTTCAGTTTCAATCTCTTTCCATAATAATTCTTTGTTTTAAAGTGGTCTTTTGGCCAGGTGTTGTGGTGTATGCCTGTAATCCTAGCACTCAGGGGGCTGAGGCAGGAGGCTCACAGTGAGTTTGAGGCCATCCTGGGCTACGTGGAGAGTCCAAGGCTACTCTGAATTGCAGAGTGAGACCCTGTCTCAAAACACCCTCCCAAAATTAAAAAAAAAAAGAAGTGGTCTTTCTTGTAAAGCAATTGGCTTTTTTTCAGTGCCTGAAAAAAATGAAGTGTCAGCAACTGACCTGTAAAAAATAAATATCTGGGCTCTTCTCCAAGTTTATGAATGCAGAGGACTGATCACAGACTGTTTCTTACAAACAGGAAGACTTTTACTTCTCGGTCATTGTGTTTCCTCAAAAGTAACCCAGGGGGATGAATGACAGGGATCAGCTCCAATCCTTTCCTTCTCCTTGCTTTCCCCTTTCCCCCAGCATTCATTACTCTAAGACAGTCTGCCACAGAAGGTGGTGTTTCTTCGCGCTTTTTTTGCCAGAGACTGTGGTATACAATGTAGGTACTTATAAAATGTTAGAATTTGTTTTCATATACATATATATATATAAATTATATATACACACATAGTTTGCCTAATACACACACACTCACACCCACACACCAACACACAGTTTTTCTCATTAGTTCACTCCCATCTGTCCATATCAGTGGGAGGTGGAGGAAGGGAAGGAAATGAAAATGTTCTCAGCTGGGAGTTTAGCTCAGCGGCACAGCACCTGCCTGGCAAGCGTGAGGTCGTGAGTTTGATTCCTGGTACCAGAAAAAAACAAAACAAACAAAAAAACAAAAATGTTCTCAACTCCTATTTCCCCAGCCCCTGCTTCACACTCCCCCAGAGAGCAGTATGTGGACAGCTTCTCCGAGGCCTAATGTGTTTTTACTCAAGTATGTAAACACGTTATGTGAGTACAGTGTTATGACATTCATTGGCAAAAAACTCACACAGAGTTAAAGTTGTTTGCAAATGTCTACTAAGAAGAGATGACCAGAGCTGTCCACTGAAATTAGGCTTGTAGTTTAAAGTAGTGTGCTACCATGGGAGACAGTATGATTATCTTTTAGTGCATGTAATGTAAGGAATTTAGTGATGTACATCAGTCATTTTTGCAAAAATAAGCTTTCTGAGGGAAATAACAATGATGAATACCTTAATAAATGGTACTATTATTACCATTCCTTGATCATATAGGATTTTTCTAACTTATTTGCTGTGTATCTACTGAAAGCCATTCACAATTCTAATAATAAAGTCTCCATGTTTAGTCACTGTGCCTCTTAAAAATTAATATAGAACTATTAAAATAGTGCCAGGATAGCATTTACTGTTCTGGTTTACTATTGATATTACCTTAAGACAGTCTATTACCCACTAATCAAGCTATGTTTGATTTTACTGTTTAGAAGAGTAAAAAAATTAGCTCGCTGACACATAGATTTTTATAGGTGTAGCCCACACAAGTAATCCCATTAGTCAACAATTTATTGTGGATGAAAATGCCTTTCCAATACTTATGCAACTACTGAGAGATCACCCTTCATCTAACATTAAGGTATATATCAAGGTTTAAATTTTTTTAATATAGTAAAAATTATATATAAGTATAATTTTAACAATAATCTGTATCTTAACGTAAGTTCACAAACATAAAAATTTAACCTTTTAAGGTTTGCCTAAGACCTTTTGTTTTAAACAAAAACAGTTGCTACCAACCATAAATATAGTAAATTTTATTTAAAGCATGATTCCTTCAAATATGACTAGAAAGTCTTATGTCCTTTACTCTTCAAAGAAAAATTTTCCTCGGATATTTAATTACATACTCACAGGCTATCTTCTCTGCTTCCTCAGAGAGTGATTACTACGGTTGGGTGTGGGTATTGAGGATGACTGCCCTACATGGCAGTATTTCTCAGGTACAAATGAATACCGTGAGTCTATCACCATTCAAGCCACCCCACAGCCCTGCAAGCAGCCTGTGTCGGCTGGTGGCTGTGGGTTTCTTCCAGCTGGACATCATGAGAATTATTACGGGTCGCAGAAAAGTTCTGCACTCTTCCATTTACCTTTCATAAAATGCCCTTCATAAGATGATATTTACATCAACTCAAATCCTTTCACCAAGGCTTTAGAAATACATCAAATCTACAGTTGGCTAGGCAAGAAACTACAACAAAAAATACATTTTCTTCTCAAAATTTGGTATTGGATTTGCTAGACATGATGAAATAGAAACAACATGGATGAAAAATGTGTAACTAAACAGCAATGTTGATCCTACTGGGTAAGTTACATGCTTTTTGGACTTGAAAGAGATCATTATGAGATGATTAGGAAAACATATGCCAGCAATATTTTGGCTTAAATTATAATTAAAAACTACACTGACCTTCCATGTACAAATACGTTTCTTAAAACTATGGAAAAGTGGCATGAAAAATATTATTTTAAAATGTTCATTTTCATGGAGAAACAGTTTACTGCACCCATGTGTATTTCAATACTCCAATACATTTTCAATAATTTTCCTCAAAATAATTCTGTAATGGACCCAGTATTTCACAATAGTTAAGCAACTACGTTTTTCAAATTCTTAATGTTTTTCATGGAAATGCATAGTTTAGCATTTTTAAAAACTCATCTGAGTCCCAATAATATACAAAGTTCACCTCCCAATGGGCTTCAGAATGTACGCTAAAAGACTCCAAATCTAGAGGAGAAAAAATCTATTTCTTAATGCTACAAGGCTTTGCTTAAATTAGTAGGTGTTCATCAAGACTGCACATCTCGATGACCAGTAGCTGACAAGCAATTTCAGCTTTATAACCCAGGCCAGAAAACATTTACAAACATTTTTTTAGATGTGGAAGGAATACAACTATGCACTTAGGGTAAGACCCCCTTCCATGCCCTGCTAACCACAATGGCCCCCCTTGTGCCCTCAACTGGTGCTGAGGTGATCCCGGCACACAGAAAGGAAGGGTATTCCCAGATGCTGAAAATTATGAACACTTCCTCCAAAAGTTGTGTTACGCTTTGACTACTGATCAGAGAACCAGAATATTGTATTATACTTTAGCAAATTTTACAGTGTCTTTCTATAATATATCCTGTATCAATATTTATACAATGAAGGGAAAATAATTTCTGAAACCCACATATTTAGGTTGAAGTGGCATTTTCCTTGGCATGCATCGTTCTCAGGAATGATGAATTACAGAAACAATTACAAGAAAATGAAGGGTTTAAATATTCCGATGTCCTCTATCTTCTTCACTCAACGGATAAGGTAAAACCTTTACAAAATATTCGAGCTCATTTAGAACAGAATAGTTTTTAAACCACACTCTCAAATTATCATCAAATGTCTCTCCTGGCAATAGTCAAATGTATTATTTGAGAAAAGAAATGTAAAAGTTCTCTTTGCGGGTCACTAGTTTGTAATGGTGTAATAATATATATTTTATACATTATGTACAACAATACATATTTTTCATAGCTGTATCATTTCATCTTTGAAATGCACTCATTTTAGTGTGAGGTGAGGTACCAGAAAACAAATTTCTTCTGTTCTGAATTAAACCTTTAACCTAATTTCAAGTGTGTTATCTGTCTCTTACACAATACTCTAAAGTGCACAATACTCTCAAACTGTTTGTGATGAAGAAATAAGCTTTTCCAAGAAATCTGTTAAGGAAAGAAGACTGTAGAAGAAAAAAGCTTAACATTTTGAAGCAATTTTAGACTTTCCAATATTTGCAAAAGTGCAGAGGGCCCCCTACGTGACTCTTTTCCTTATCTCATCAACTGGCTTTAAGCAATGCATCTAGCCTGATACGGATGTGTGAGCCAGTGCTCCATGCTGTGCGCTGGGATGAGCCTTGGGATAGAAGCTATGACTTCCTGGAGCCTGAAAGATTATACATCAGAGCTGAAGCACCGACCCCCAAACATTAGGTACTATCTCAGTTGATTTATGCAGATTACTGTTTCTGCACATCCTTCTCTCGGCATTGCAGAGGTGATTTCAAGCCTCCTACCTAGCCCAGCTCATAGCACTCACCCACTTCCCAGGGTTCTCACACCCTCAAGCCGCTCCCTTCTTCATGAATGAGTAAAGTCTGGGTTCAGCCTTGGGTGGAGGCCTTTGTTCCGGATGGCCATCCTTGTGGCTGGACTGAGGACCCCTTGACTCCCCATAACTACAGACACGCCTTAGTGCCTTTATTCTCGCCATGGGTTGCACTGGAAGTGGTAGATTGGAATTCACTCGCTAAAATTCCAATAACTTTTCTTGGGATTACAAATACAAACTTCCTGGGCTGCAGCTAGGATGGGGAAAGGCGCTCTATACAAAAGTAGTTCAGAGTATTCTAGCATACCCTCTTACCAGTTTTTCTAATATCTGCCAGAAAATGAACCTTGACACAAAACTATTAACTCATCTCCAGATTTACTTGTATTTTGCCAGTTTTCTCATCAATACCCCGGCTCCACTCGAGGCTCTCACAGTACACCCAGTTGTTACAGCTCTGTAGTCTCCAGTTTCAACACCTGCTCAGGTTGTATCCTTCACTATGTTGCAACAATAAACTGATGGAGCTGTTTCTTTTAACGAAATGATTATTCATTGGCCTACTCAGTAAGCTAATAGTTTCTTTAGAAATTAACAAGCTTTCTGTTCTTCTTCCTGCCACAAGCAAGCTCTCTGTTCATTTCATCTGTTCAGTGACACTCTGGGTAACTGCTCTTTGTTTTCCTCAGTAAGGTTGTATTTTACTTGCATGAATAAGAATGAAATATATTTTAATGGGCAAGAATTTAAAACCTATTATTTTGACAACATGACACATGAAGCAAGTTAAACAAAATGCACATTTCTCCTATTTCTAGGATATTTGCTTAAGAGCAGCCTATGCGTTAACCCTTTTTGCCTTCAACAATCGCTTTCAACAATACTTAATACTGGAAAGTGGAAAAATCACCCTGTCCATTTTTGAACCTTTTCTTCAATCAACAGTTGAAACTGAGAGGTCAATGGCAGCATTTCAGGTATAAAATAAAAAGTTCACAGTTTCAAGTTCCTAAGTCTATTTTTAGTGAAAAATTAAAAATACACCGGTAAAATGTTTTCTGATTTGTAAAATTTAGTACTTTGTATAATTAGTCCCCTCTACTACCTCATAAAACTCCATTAACTGGGAGAATTTCTTCATTCATGTAGAACTGAACAAGTAACAGGGAACGTTTGCCTTCATTCCCTCATTGGATGCTTAGAGCAACCCTGGGAGGTTGATAGGCCGGTGATATTATTCCTCTGGCCCCACAGGAGAAGGAAATAATTAGAGAAACACAGCAGTGTCCATGACAGGTTTTCTAACTGCACATCTTTACCCGATTATGCTGATTCTTCAACCCAATCATGATTATCTGTATTTGGATTCTTAGTCTTATTCTCTCTTCATTTTCTATCCTTTAACTTTTAGAAGTACTTTCTATGAACATATACCTCAAAGATGCAAAATTTACGAACCCTGTAGGAAGAATATATGTCCCATTATGGTCACTGCTCTGACTGGTTAGGGGCGAGTACTCTAACTCCTCCTCCCTATTACCACGTGCTTTTCTTTTATCGGATTCTATCAACACCTAAGAAATATTCCCCACCACATGACAAAAGTTCAGAGAAGCTGAGAAGAAAATGTTCAATGATTCCATGCATCTTTTTGTCTTTAGATTATTGTATTAGCTAAAGTCATCATAGATGTGGACCATATTACTTTGTCTGCAAGAGGAGTTACTATTTTAGTCAACAGTCTGTACTCGTACAAGCATACCACTATTGTCTTGACAGGTGAGAAATGACTAGTGCTAATTGTATACACACAAAACTGTTTCCAAAAATTATTCTTGTAATTTGAGCAATAGGGAAATAATACGCCTGACCCTGTGTCACACAAGTTGAGAAATGAACTCACGTTAATCTATGTGGAACTCGAGAGTCAGTGTACATTTAACAATGGACATCCACACTGCACCCTGAAAAGGAGCAGAGTTAACTCTGAACATGGCCTTTCTTGCTCTTCTAATTACTTTTTCAAACCCCAAATTGTTTTTTTCCAGGCTATAAAATGAGAATTCTCCTATGAACAGCCAACAACAAGATATACACACTGATTTATACCTAGAAGATGTGCACTGATACTTCTCTGTCTGGTTTAGTTTACACAAACTGTGTGCATTTTCCTAGTTGTTTAGGTGTTTTCTGTGCCACACAGCAAAGCAAAATGGTTCAGCAGAGTTCCTGACACAATGTGAGCCTGTAACTTCACGTCAGGCCAGCTCACACAAAGTAGGTGACTAGTAAGGTTTATATGACTTGGCATATCACTCCTAATAAATAACTAAATATTCTTTTTTTAAACTGAAATAGACCACTGATGGGAATAAAAGAAATTTCACCTGTACCACAAAATTACCTTATTATGGAGTATATTTGTATGGCAAGGGGAAAAGTTAAGCAAATGGAAAGTGTCCGATGGAAACTGGCTAGGGAAAATATGTATAAAAGAAATTATTAAAAAGATTTTCATCTAAACAACATTATTTTTTGAAACTTTTTAAAGAGAAAAAACAATAAAATAACAACAAAGACAAAAACAAAACAACACAAAAACAATAAAAATGATACAGAATTTCAAAACAAGGTGATAGGAAGTTAACAATGACTGTTATATTACATATTGTTATCTTCAACGAAGTAGCTCAGATTACCAGATCTAAGATCAATCTTGCATTCTAAACATTATTAATTTCAGTCTCTTAGTAATTCTGTGACTCTGAGAAACAAGTGCAGTGGGTTTAGCTTTTATGCATTAAATGGCACAGATACCTGCTTTTGAATGTTCTCCACTGAATCTCAAAAATCACTGGGCCTTCTCTGCTGGCTGGCACCAGCGTCCTATGCATGTCCAGAGTCACAGCATATCCCGGGCATCTCAGCCCAGCCACACAATCGGGCCTCGGGAACAGTGTAAGACAAACTGCTCAGTGTCCTAGCTGCCACAATTCCCAGAACAGGCTCTAAAGACATAGAAATTTTGCAGATATTGTGAACTGGGAAAAAACTGTGCAAAAGAAAAGACAAAGTATGGTGGAGGAAAGGAGAAATGAAGAAAGGGAAAAAAGAAAAAAAAATTTGTATGCACAAGATAGTTAAGATAGGTTTATAGCTAACTTCTCTTAGTTCCTTGAAAAGAATGCTTTGTGCTAATATTGTTTAGACAAGATACCATGCCTACTATCTTGTACTCTGATTAACTAATAGGAAGACAACAGTATGTAATGTATCCACTATTGTAACTGTCCCACTGACCTATTTCCAAACTGGAAATGTATCAGCTATTGTAACCAGCCTACTAACCTTTTCAATGTTTGTTTGTTTGCTTTCTTTAAAATACAAACAAAATAAAACAAAGGCACAGAAGTTTTGCAGAGTGGCATTTCTATGGCCAAGTGTCAAGTTTTCCTATGTGTATTTAGCTTCTCTCCGAAGTTCCTGCTCCTACTCCTGAGTACTACAAACCTAAATCTTCCTGCTTCTTCTAGGCCCTTCATGTTTCCCAGTGCTTACTTCCCAGATTTAAAGGCATCTTTTTAACTCCACAAAAACGTTACCTTTAGGCAACTTTTCCTTTCCATACAACCCAGTCTTCTCCAACTGAGGGAGAATTCCTCGGCTTCTAGAGGCCAGGAAAACATACAAGAGAACAAAACTCAGTTCCTATCTAAATATAGCATCCACTCATAGATGCAGAAACACATTTATACTTTATTTATTTATTTGTACGGGAAATTGAACTCAGGACCTTGTGTTTGCCAGGCAGGCACTGTGCTGCTGAGCCATTTCCCTGGCCCCTACATTTAAGTTTTAAAATATCAATATGAATGAAATAGTGTTAAGTTGATAGCTACACAGTTTATTATTTTAATTACAGAGTCACTTTATCATTTTCAGTCCCCAAATACTTTTTTTATGGTCAGAACTTCAACGATTTTAAGTTTAAATAAGTAATACATTCCTTGATTGTATAATATCATTAAGGTCTTAAAGCCATTCGAACTGCAAAAAGAACATTCTAAATTTCCTTATGACATTCAATCATTACGTTGTCATTTAAAAAACAACAACCTCAAAATATATTTGAAGCCACAGAAAGAAGGAAACTTTTTCTTCTTCTTTTTTTTTTTCTTTTTTCCGGTACTGGGAATCGAACTCACAACCTTGCACTTGCCAGGCAGGCGCTGTGCCGCTGAGCTAAATCCCCAGCCCGGAAGGAAACTTCTGATTTAAAAAAAATTTCTACTTTTTAAAAGCCTGTTTAATTCCTATTATTTGTGACAGAAAATCAAACCATAATTTTGGGTAAAGTTTATTCTACATGCATATAAAGTATATTATTACATATAAAAGTTTATTCTACATACATATAAAATAGTTTATTTTACATACATATGCATTTCTTCATTTACCAGAGATGTAAAGCAATATACAAATTAACAAAAGCACTGCGTATTGATTTATCATTTAAATGACACAATCATGTTTTCTTGTTTAATCCATAGGAAATTTAATAGCTAGCCTGGCTCACTCCAGAGCTGGTATTCCAGAAGCATTTATTACATTAGGAACAATCCAGCGACTCTGCTACCACTTGTACTCAGGAAGAGAAGAGGTAAAAAACAAAACTAATTTAAAAACTGAATATACTAAAAATACAGAAAGGCATAGCATGTGAGAGGCTGGTGCTGCCGGTGGTAAAAAGAATTTACCAGTAGCCAAGAAATACAGAAAAGGGAAGAGTTTATTGATCCACCGCAAGAGAGAAGTGGGCAAGTTAGGGGAAAGGCTGAGATTTTTATATTTGATTTCAACGTCATTCCTGCTCCGTCAGGTCAAGGTTTCTTGGTTGTCAGGATGGCCAGGTGTTGTTTGAAGACGGAGTACAGTTTTGTTCAACAGGATCCAGTGCTCTTGGCTTTGTTAGAAACAACCCTCTGGATAAAATTCATAGCAAATAATGGTAGCACAATGTATGTCTGTACTTAAAAGGGACTTTTTACATTATATTCAGATAGGGGAAGAAATGGTATTCTTTAAAATATGACAAATGATTAGCTATCTAGTGATGTATGTGTAGTTTTTGTGTATAGTTTACAGGGGGAAAGTTAATGTTCTACTCCAGATCAATCACACAGCTGCAGTGTAGCATTTTTTAAATTATTTTTTGCTTTTATTTTATATATTTTAGATATAGTGATCATATAAAACACTGATCATATAAAACTTGTACCCGTACATGATACATCTTGCTTCTTTTTTCCACACTCCTCCCCCCCAACCTTTCTTCCCCTCCTTATTTAAAAAAGTTTTTTCCATTTTTTTCCTTCTATTCTTTTTTTTCTTGTCCCTTTTCATTTGATACAATGTAGCCTTTAAAGAAAGAAAATAACCATGACTCCTCAAATCTTTCACTATGAAATTTTTCCTCAGGTTGACTATTACATAATATAGTTAATGTTCTTATCTGAAAATTAGATGCACTTTCTAGAACTAAGTAGTCATATTGGCCATTCACCATTCTGATCCCTATATAGTGCACCTTTGCTTTAACTCCAAGACTTAAACAGGATTTTAATTACAAAAGCAGTACAATTTAAAGGTTTAAAAAGAAATATCTGCTCAAACTAGTCTGAGAATTAAAAACAAAAAACAAGGGAAACCATGTGAAATAGGTCATCTTAATGCCAGAGCTGATTCATCCCACGGACAAATACTTTGAGATAGAAATTTCTAATTGAAGTGTTTACGAAGCATCTCACAAAAACTAGTTACTTTGTGATCTCACTGAAATATTTTTTCTATGGGCTGTAATGAATGGAAGTAGAATCCACAGGACAGGTTTCTTGACCCGCTGAGCAGGGTTAGAGGTGAGGATATATGCAAGAGGACGATGGCCACGGCAATGGTTTGCTTCTGAGTGCTCCCCCTTAGAGGGCTGAAGCAGTTATTTCTCCAACTTTAGGGTATACCAGAATTACCTGAAAGACCTATCGCTGGTTGCTGGGCCCGCTTCCCAAATTCCAGACTCAATACATGTGACGTGGGCCCCAGACACTGCATTCCTAACAAGTTCCCAGCAGCTGACAGTGTTAATCCATGAACAGCACAATGAAAACAGAGATCAAGGTGTGGAAGACCCCTGGGCACACGGAGCAGCTGGATGCCAGTGAGAGGCTAATTTGCCAATCCTTTGGAACCATGCATGAGCCTGGTTTTTGTTCATTGCATTAAATCTTTCATGCTATCAGCTACCCAAATCTCTGCCCAAGAGCACACATCACATGAACAAGCTAATTACTTCAGTCACAGGCAAAGTGTACTTCCTTTAAAAAATGACTGCTCTTCCTAGAGTCCGGAGGCCCAGCACCTGAGCTTCTTTGTGGTTCTCAGCGTAAAACAGTGCTTTCCTGATCTGGCCTCCTTGAGCCTCTTGTCTCTTTCCTGGTTTGCGCTGACAATCACCTGAGTGGTTTTGAAAAACCCTGAGGCCCAGTCTGCATCCTAGAATAACTAAGTGAATTTCCAGAGATGGGGCTCAGGCGTAACTGTCAGTTATTCAGGTGATTCCAATGCATAGTCACAGTTGAAATTTCAAAGGTTAAATTTTAAAGTTCTTACTTTGGTTGTACATTAATAATAACCTATGATTCAGATTTCATCGGTGGGCGTCTCCTTAATACTTCACGTGATTCTACAATACTGCAAACTACTACACAGCAGTGGGAGTGGACAGTCTCCTCTGAAAGATACGGCTGTTACTCTTCCATCTAAAAACGGCTGTCAGTTTATGCACACGCACATTGTACCCATCTACAGGCTTGTCTAGGAAACGCTGGTGAGGTATTTGAAAACTCGCTGGTTAAGGAGAACAGTTTCTTCTTTACTTAGGTTCGTACAGCATGCTCCTGTGCTCTTGGATACTTGACCTACAATGCAAATGGTTTCCGCATTCTGTTAAAGGAATGCAGGAATAAACCTAATCAGTTCCTTCGTATAAGAAACAACATCAGCAGAGATGCAAGTATTAATCCAGCATTTTTAAAGGAATTTCAAATGCAACAAATGGTTGGACTTCCTTCTCTAAGGTATTGTGCCTCTATCTGAAGTTGTAATAGCGAATTACTGTATAGAACTTGGGAGTTGAGGGGAGATCGCTCATGGGGAGGAGTATTTGATATGAACATATCTTTGTATACTGAAGTCCCACCTACGCACACTAGAAGTGTGCTTTACTAACTGCCGAGACGGATCATAAACCAGTCCAGTTGACCTTCCAGCTTAACTGTTACACAAGCTAAAGTGTCTCTTCTGCCCATCATTTCAAGCATATTTAATGTTCCGAGTAACTGAAGATAAAATACCCAAATGAGCATCATTTTCTACATGCTACCTAAAATGTATGACGTGGGCCATGAGGCATAGAAGATGGTACGTGGAAAAAGCCTTCATATATTTCTTCAAAGTCTTCATTTATCTTATTATTTAAAATATTTTCCTTTCAGTCTGGAGAGGAATGGAGGCCCTTTCATAAATCCTGTCTTTAGAAAAGGTAATTATTTTTTCTTTTATTTTTCAGGTAGCTCTGGCTTTTTGTTCGTGTTTTGAGTCAGGGTCTCACTGTGTAGCTCAGGCTGGCCTTGAGCTATGTAACAAGGCTGGCCTCAGACTGACAGTAAACCTCCTGCCTCAGCCTCCCAAGTGCTGGGATCACATGCCTGGCTAGCTGTAGCATTTTATAATTCTATCTCTAAAAATTTGAAATTCAGAGGCAACCCAAAAAACCTTTGTTATCTATAAGTTTCTACTTTGCTGTCCATATGTAAGCCCGCATTAATAATTTCTTATAAGGTCTTCTGCATTAATAATTTACTAATAAAAAGTTATAGCATGTATAACTTGCCAGAGAATGCTCTTTGCTTTTTCTTAAGCTAATCACAGAAATGTCATTAAATGGCATGGATGCCTTAAATAATATTGCTATAGTTCTATTTCATGTACAACTGTCTATAATTCTTAGAGCAGAGACATGTTTCCCACTGACACCCCATAGTTTTGCACATAGTTAAAGGCTACATGACCTAGATCTGAAGAAGAGTCTAGATCCTATTTCTCATCCCTTCCTATTAGATGTCTACTAGGAAATGTAAACCATTTATTGATATAAGGTATATGGTCCTTCATCTGTGCTTAATAAAGCATCAAACTCAGTTTTATTTGGTATGTTGTCTTACAGTCAAAAGTATAGAACCATTCAGTCAAAATCAGTTTTCTGGAGTCAGAAACAGAAAGGAAGAGGTAGTAAAGAGAAAGGAAGGACTTCATTTATTCAGGGAATATTTGCAGGACGCTAGGTGTACATATGCTATATTTCTGAATATCATGGGTAGAAGAGCATTTTTTCTATACCTCTTTAACAAAAGAATGATTTATACAAATGGATAAAGTCAGTTCTATTCTTTCTTCACATTAATACTGGCTTCCAACAACAATAGGTAAGCAGTAACTGAAGCAGTTCTTTCAGGTTTACAGTAACATAAGAAAAAATAAGGACAATGTAGGAAATTTCTGATAAAATTAATTTTATAAAATGTCAAGTCTATCATTTTAAGACAATGCCTTTTCCACTTTCTGTTGGAGTTAAAATATTCCTTATTTTACCAAATTATGTTTACAGCAGTTGGCATTTCTTTTTATTAGGGCCACTTTGGTTCTAACAAAAAAGCTGGCGAACCACACACTAATCCCCACAAATTTTTGGTCTCTAACATCAACAGGCCTGGGAATTACTGAACTGTTTTCTCAGTACGTTTTAGTTACATAAAAAACAGAAGTATGTAAAACTGAAAGTAGTGAGACTTAGGTTTAAGAAATGTCTGACTGTGGTCCTCCAATTTTTAGGGAAAGAGCACCGAAGAAAAGCAAAACCTAAAATTCAACCAAGAGATTCTTTGACTTTAATGCCTCCTGTAACTAACTTCGCGGGACTCTTCAAAACGACAAAAAAGAGCAAAATTTCTCATAATATTTTCGCTTTTTCATCTGCAATTTCATCAGATATCATCAATGTAATAAGACCAAGAATAGTGTGTTTGAACCGACTTGGGAAACAGGAACAGAAAGCCAACCCAGAGCCTGCAGAGGGCTAGTAAAAAATCTTAGTATGAAAAGGTTCTGAGGTTTTAGAATTTTTTCAATTATGGTAAAGTACATATAATGGAGCAATCTTTTGAATGGAAGTTCTTGAAATTGATATTAAACAGATTTTCCTTGGCCTGTCTGTTGGAATTTAACACAAGGTCAGAGCTATGCTTTCACAAAATAAGGAGAATGTGAGAATAAAAGAATGCCTGCATGTAAACCTATTAATATGTATTAACTGAAATAGAAACACTTTTGAATTGGAATGCTAAGTTAGAGGACTGAGATTCAATGTATCCCACGTATTAACACTCATTTTAAATATTTTATTTAATGGTAAATATTACAAACCCATGAGACTTCTAAAACATGAGATGTATACTACTTTAAAATATTTTCTTAAAAATAAAATGTGACATCATTGTCTATCAGGTACACAAGTATGGTTACAAGATGCGGCCACCAGTGTTGACCATATTCCATATGTACACAATGCCTTTGGTTTGTGACCGCAAAGAATGACATTTTATATGGCTTACAACCACATGATGTCTTTGCTCTAAAAGCACTGCTCCAATAGGAGCGAATTTTGGTGTATGCCTACTTCTACTTCATAGCGGCAAACCGATGTGATGCAAATGCAAGCTAGGCATCACAGTGTTCTTAATTCCCCTCCTTTTCTCCATCCACTTTGCTTAACTGCCTCTGGTCTCAAGGTCTTTTTTTTTTTTTTGGTTTTTCTCCGGTACCGGGAACCGAACTCACGACCTTGTGCTTGCCAGGCAGGCGCTTTGCCGCTGAGCTAAATCCCCAGCCCCTATAATCCCTTCTTTACCTGATGTTATGGTTTGTGTCTAGATGTCCCCCCAAAGTCTCATGCAGTCATGGGGAGGGCTTCTAGAGTTTATGATTGATTCATGGTCCAATGCTAGGATTATGGGGGTAAGTGCTACACCCGCCCTAGGGTGGATAGCCTGCATACAATATAAGGGAGGAAAAGAGGCTTGCTCTTGTTGTTCCCTTTTTGCTCTTGCTGCTTTTGCTGTTTTCCACGGCCACGAACTCACCCTCTGCATGTGCCACCCTGCCTTGGAGCCAGCCAAGTATGGACTGAAACCTCCACAAACTGTGAGCTAAATAAACCTTTCCTTCCTTAATTTTGGGCATTAAATATTCTGTCTCAGCAATGAGAGAAAAGGAACAGATCTGGAAGCATCAAAAATATGTATTAATTAGTAATTAATACATATTAATAATTAATTTTTCCCAATAGGCCTTAACACAACAATAATGACAGTGATGATGGTAGCTGCATGTATTCAGGGCTTCCTCAAAATCCCAAGCCTGTGTTCTTAACCACTGCAAACTAAGAGACCTCTAAATTTTCAAATTAAATTCTAAATTATGTTAAATAGTTGTAACTCTCTGATGGATGGACTAATATAGGAAATATATGTGGGACATGGTGTGTTTTATTTCTAGAAAGTGGTAAATAATAAGAAACTATTTACTCAGCAAAATTAAAGGTAAAAATTCATACTGATGGAAGTATTAAGCCACTGTAGATGGGAAAAACAAAAACAAAAACGAAAAAACTCTAGTGAGCACCTTTTGAGTTTTGAAACTCTAGTCCATTAGGCTTAAAACTATATTTTAAGAGTATTTTCAGGTTGAAGAGCAAGGTGTCCTTATAACCACAGGTGATTCCTGATTAGCCAGACAATCCTACCAATACTACAACTCACAGTATTTCTGCTAAAAACCAGCCAACTCCCATAAAGATTTTTATCACTCCATGCTTTCTATTTCTTCTTAAAAATCATATATGAGAAAAGCCTCAAGTCCTATGGAGTTTCAATAATTTACTTGCCTCTTAGCTAAACTATGGCAGTAAACTGTGACACATAAGTTATGAATACAGAGTTTCAGGGTTCCTCTCTTTCTTGTTCTTCCTCTTCCTTCCTTCCTTCCTTCCTTCCTCCTTCCCTAGAGCCAAGTACTGAAATGCTTCCAGAGTTTGCTCATTTTCTTTATCTGTAGTTAGCTTTACTTATATCATGAACTGAATGTTGACATGTATGATTATAGTACCTGGAGCAATTTTCAAAATTTTAAAATTTAAAAACTTAGCTTATGGGTATCCCTATTTGTGATAAAAGGAAGAAATTTGGGTAAATCTTCTTCCATAGTTTATATGAACTCTGATTATAATAAACACAGGAAATCATTACATTTGTGAATTCAGATTCTCTGATACAAAATGCAGGTCCAAATGTAAATGTGAATTCACAAACTAACAGCTTCTTTTAAATGGTATTTCTTAAACAATTCTACCATACTTACATAGCACTTTAGAATCAAAGAATGCAAAGCTTTATAAACACTATTTCTATATTTTCCTTCATCTATAGTTTTCTATTTGTAGGATAAAACAGATGATCGTAAAGTCATTTAAAGCAGGTTTAAAATAAGAAATATTTGTTTTCTAGATTTTTGTCCTTAGCTTCTAGTTTCCTAATAAACCAAATCATTGATTAGAAAGTTAAAAACTTGGTCCAGTATCGATGATATAAGCCTTTCCTGGTAAGATCTCTCAAAGAGCATTAAATAGTCAGTCACACTGTCCTCCTAGTCAGAAGACAGTATATTCAGTTAGCTTAGGCAGAAAAAGTGCAATAAACTATGACAGCTGCAGTACAAAGTTCCAAATTCAAAGGAAATTACCCTCAAACAAACTTTTTTTTCCTCTCACTTACTTTCATCTGATTTTATACAATTTGTAAAGCAATGATCAACTAAATTAAGTATTGATCAACAAGACATACTTGAGAGGGAATTTACATGTTTAATTGGTAAAATCTCAAACTGGATGTTCTTTAAAAAAAAATGTAGTAAACTGACTTATTCCAGAGAGGATACATAATAACGTGCATTTTTTACAACTAATAGTACATTCTGTTAATCAGCTTTTGGTCTTGATTTGGAATTCTCTGATTAGAAACAGCTTTAAACCCAGGCAGTGACACATGCCTGTAATCCCAGCTCTTTGGGAGGACTGCAGGTTTGAGTCTTGCAGGGCAATGAAGCAACACCCTGTCTCAAAATCACAAAACAAAGCAAGACCAAACAACACAACATAACACAATGCAACTAGGGCTGGGGATGTAGCTCTGTGTGGAGGCCCTCGGCTCAATTTCCTGCTACCACAAAACCAAAACCAAAACCAAAACCAAAGCAAAACAAAAGAAAAAAAACTTTGACCAGGCTACCACTGCCTTTTAAAATCATTTTTTCATTACAGAAGTCAGGCTGATGTTTCAGTAAAGGTCAAAAAACAGCTTCTATATCTTGATTTGACAAAGGGAAGAAAAGATGTAGGCAGTATGATATGGAGCCAGGATTCAACAGAATCACTGAATTTCTTCCAATGTTTTTCTTTCTACTGCCAACATCAGTGCATTCCTTCTGCACAAGATATTTTATTTTGGCTTTTGATAATATATTTTTTATTCCTTTAACTGTTTGATCAATCTTGCATTCTTACATTTGGTAATCTGAGCAACTACATTGAAGATGACAATATGTAATATAACAACCACTGTTTATATTCCTATGATCTTGTTTTGAAATTCTGTATCATTTCTATTGTTTTTGTGTTGTTTTGTTTTTGTCTTTGTTGTTATTTTGTTTTTTTTTCTCTTTAAAATAAAAAAACAATGTAAAGAGAAAAGCTATGCTCCCATGTGAGACTATGACATTGTCTTTCAATTAGTACGCAAGAAAAGGAATAACAAAAAAATTTTGATAATATATTTCTACAATTTGATACACAAAAAATATGAAAACTTAATTTTAATGTTGAAACATTACCTTTAGAGACTTGAAAAGTAAAAATCAAATCTTCATTTTTAATTGTGGTACTTTTATGGAAGCTTCTCCAACTTCTCTTGATATATCTATTCCAAGAGGACATCTGCATCATGAGACACATCTTATTATTTCAAATACTTGTTTCACGATCCATCACTAGTTCTGAAAACTATGTTTTAGATGAGCAATATCTGATATATAATGCATCATATGTGGCAATGGGTCCTACATACATACAAGTACTATGGAATCTCAAGCTAGGATAATGAAGACCATCTCATTAATAAGGCATATAAATTTTGAGACGTGTTGAATAAGAATTTTACTGTTCTCAAATACTATAAATTAGCAAGGTTAAAAATTCTAAATGAAATACACATAACAAAAGATGCCACACAATTTTTTACAAAGTTAAAATGGTAAAGGCATTTTATCACATAAAGTCCAACCTGGCCTCACATTCTAGAAATCCCCTAGGGTTTTACGTATTCTCTGAGGTTTCAACAGCTGGCTTGTCCCTTTCCAACCTTCCTCTGCCACTAGTGGCAGGACAGGTCTTATCTCCTACTCTCTGTTTAAACTTCCTTCTCAGTAAGTAATTTTGACCTCAGATTTCTGCTTCTATGTTGGTCAAGGTAAAACTGAGCTTTGTGAATGGGGAGGGGAAGGTGGTTTGAAAAGATGGGATGAGAATGGTGGGAAAAAAGAGGAATGAAGATATAGCATGTACAGATACAAATATCCTATAATGAATGCATCATTATGTATACTTAAATTGTACCAGTAAAGTTAAAAAAAAAAGACTTGGACCTGATCCCTGCCTAGAGAAGCCATCAGCCCCAACCTCAGCACTGCCACAAGAGGGCACAGCCTGGTGCCCGGGCTGGCTAATGCACGTAAGAGACTCACACCTGTCACATGATAGACTGTCATGCTGACAAGTTTTAAAACAGCAGATGACATAGAGTCCAAAAGAGAATTATGCTAAGACTATGAAACATAACTGTCCTTTACTATTCCAGAATTAACTTAGGCAAGAGCTTGATAACAATGAACAAGGTTACTGGAAGTTTGATTTGGGACAGGAGGTAAGGCTTACAGGAAGCAGCTGTCTTCTCACCACTTCTCAGCTACCCCTGTAAGAATGTAGTCACAACCCAATCTCACACCTGCACGCTTTCTGCACGTTCTCTTAAGTTCCCCGGCATACCTGCTAGTCCTAAGAGCCTCCTGACACTGCAAAAGTCCAGGCTATGTAGATGGGTTCTATTCTGGTTCCAAATAAAGGAAATCCATCACCCCTATCCAAGGTTGGTTTCTAACCCACATGTGATTTGCCAAAAATTTTATAATTTGATTCTGTAGCAAAAATATTTATGTCAACCTCAAGCGGGTTTATGAAAACAATTAATGCAACTTTCCTTTCAGTACCATCAGAATGTCAATGAAAATCTCATAAAAGCAAAATTCAGGCTTTGTACTATATCACGGAACTTGCACAAAGTGTATAAAGGGTACCACGTACTTTGGTTCGTAGCGGATGCCTTCTACATTGTGTAAAACGTTCAAGCCAGCACGTAACCTTTCAATGCCATTCCTAAATAAAAGTCAGCAGAATAAGACAAACGGCCCAGAGATTTAAAAGAACAGATTTAGTACAATGAAATGGCAATTACTAGTTACACGATTAAGCATGGACACATCCTGCGGCTTACCATGCAATCATAACACCATTGTCCGCGCACAGCCTGGGAGGAGGACACAAGAGAGTGCACTGCGTAGCATCAGTGACAATCTCTAGAGCTCTTCGGATGTAAAAGTTACTCGCAACACCTCCAGACACAACCTGAAAGAACCGACAAGGTCAAAATTAGCAACTGTCACACGGTACAAGCCAAGCTGCTAACCAAGCTTGAGGCACACATCAGCATTACAGAATGGAAAACTACACTTTGAGGTTGGTAATGGGGAAGAGAGATGACTGTGTTACAAAATTTAGAGATGAGAAAAATCACTACCAATTTTACTATCAGGGTATAACCACTAGCATTTTTATATATTTCCAACTTTTTCTAACTATTTCTGTAATGTAAGTACACCACAGTACATCAAAATTTTTAGAACCTGCCATTTTTACTTGTAAACATTTTTTATTTTATTATAAACATGAAAAAACAATTATCTTTAACATTCATTTAATATTCAACTTTTCACTTAAACATTAGCTATTATAGTTATAATTTTATAATAAATAAAGTTTAAGATACATTAACCTGGAAGATTATCAAGACCTTTAAGGATATTTAAAGGGATTTCACTACAGGAGGAAACCAGCTCACTTTTCTAAAAATAGTGATAGCAATTACTGCATTTGGTTTCTTTCTTATAAACCCTCTTTCAAGTCCAGTGAGATGTGGTAATGTATTTTTTGCTGTATAAGCTGTACAAGTGCCTGCTCCATAAAGCTGCCACATCTGTACTAGAAATGACTGTAAGTCTCTTCCACTCTTCGTAATTTCACACTGTCAGGGCCAGCGTAGGTCATAAAGACCAGTTTATCCTAAACACAAGGTCAATTAAGATAACACACTGCAAAGAGTACTATGACTGACATGTGAGATGACAGAACTTACCAGTACTGCATGACTCTGAGATAACAACTGTCTCTGCTTGCAAAACAGAATAGCACGGTGTGCCCTTTTCGCAATGTGGCATGCTGCTGTGTGCTGTACCGCAGCAGCAATGTCTGAAGCTGAAGACAGGACTTGCCCCTTCTCGATACCTGCAGAGATAAGTAGGTGCTTTCAGGCACAACCTAGGACTACTTATCTGTCCAACTGTACTTATTGGAAATATACCTTCCTCTTTTTCCTTCTGCGTTATTATTTTTTCGGTAATATACTGAAGTCCGGTAAAAGAAAAATCACAGTTTTTAGCATGATGCATGGGTGGACGGATATCAAAATGAAATCTATTTCCTTGTTTGGCCAAATGTTCTATAGCCTTCCCGCCACTCATGCTGGAGCATTCTGGATGTTTGATTAAAGAAAGTCTTCTAGCAACCTATCAAAAACAAAAATATATTTTAAAAACTAAGTCACAAACCAGGTATTTTAATACCAAAAGACGCAAGGGAAATGAATGGCAAAATTAATAAAATGTTGTACACTGTACTTAGACAAATATGGGGTCTAGCTGGTGTTCAGCAAAGCAGAAAACCTTGTTCCTGACAACCTGATGAACAGTGGCCAAATGCTGCCCCTACTGTTGCCCTCCTATGGGGTTGGAAAATAGGCTTGGAGTTGATCAAGACTGCTGAATGATGAACTTCAAAGAGAAAAACGTGCCCTGCTGTTTCTTCTTATCGTTTTAGCTGTTGGCAGCCATGCCTTTTTATACATGACAGTAGGCTCTATAGTGTTTAAAAACAAAAGAAAAAGAAATCTACTTGGTTATGCTGCCAATGATTGTTCAAGATACTGAGAAATACTTGGATGAATAGCAGCAGTGCATCAACAGACACTGTAACAAAAAATATAGAAATTAATTCTTAAATAATTACCTTGTCAAACATGTCACCGGGTGCTATGTCCAAAGACTTTCCAAGAAGCAGAAAATCTGAAACTCCTCGGACTAATGCCAATAGACAATGACCTCCAGAAATCAAAAGAACTAAAAAAGGAAATTCTACTTGATTGGTCAGCCTAATAGTCAGTGCATGAGCCTCCATGTGATGAATGGGGATGAACGGCTTCTTCAACTGATTCACCAGCTGTAAGCTAAATGATAAGCCCACCCCTAGGCTTAAAGCAAGTCCCGGTTTTGTGGTAGTTGCAATTGCTGAGAGTTCACTTGGAGAGATTCTACTGGCAGAAAGAGCTTCCTGTACTATTCGTTGAATATTTTCTCTGTGAAGCTGCTGAGCTACCGGAGGAATAATCCCACCTGTCCTGAAAGAAACAAAAAAATAGCGTTTTATAAACTGAAGAGTATAAAAACAAAGAAACAAAAGCGATAATATTGTAACTGAAGGCATGATTCCAAATTAATCATTATATGGCTGGAAATACTGAGTTTTTTCAAATTGTGTGCTCTACAATGTAGCATACTATAAGAACTCGATATGAAATGATTAAGAGGATAATGTTTCTGCCTTTTCAAACCTATGCACAAAACCCTCATAGATTTGTTCTGTGTAAAACAGTCTACAGAAGTCCTAAGCAAGAGAAAGACAGGATAAAATTATATTTTAAGAAAATTAATATCCTTGCAGATGGAGAGATTTTGAGATTACTACAAAAAAGCACTTGTGTAAAATGATCACATCTTAAAGTGGGTGATTTATGGGAATGGACAGAAAGAGACAGAGAACCTTGAGGCTGTAACAGACAACCAGACACATGGGACTAATGGACAAAGACATCAAAGATTCAGATTTTTTGGATGAAATGAGTGGGAGAAAAGAAACACAGTGAGAAACGAGAAAATGATTTTGTGAAGATGAGTTTATTTTTAAATATATTGCACTTGAGGTCACAGCAGGAGAGTAGAAAGCAATCCCAACATAAAATTTGGGAATCCAGTGCTCAGACTTGGTAAATGAGATTCTTGATACAAGTAAGACAATGCATGGTCACTCCAAATGTCAAGGGTAAAGAATGAGGAGGCAAATTTGCTATCAACAAATGTGCCAGCATGTGACTGATTCATAATCTGGAAGAAGTGCAATAAAATATAGAGTGCAAAGTACATAAGGAACCTCCAAACTTATTTCCCGTATATTCAATGTTGTAAGACCTCCCACTTCTATAAAGAAATAATAATCCTTAGATCAATGAATGCTTATTTAATAGTTAAAATATGAAGTATGATAATATAGAATATTAAAATTTTAAAAATGTATTCCCCTAGAAAAAATGTTGCTAGTAATTTCCCTCCAAATACTTTCCCTTGCTTTGAACACACTTATTCCATCCTTCTTCTCACTTTTGGAAGCAGTTCTGGAAGTCCTGTTACGTCTTTAGATGTGCTGTGCAGGCTGCCTCGGGGTCTGTCCTGAATCAACTGAAAACACTGATCTGAAGAAAATTCATGTCTGCACACACTTGCTCTTCCACTGGATGACCCCGGGGAGCGGCACCCTCGGTATTTTTGATGATGCCTCCGAAAGACACTAAAACGGGGCTTCCAGCACTGCTTCAGAAAGTGGGAGGAATGATGGGATGTGTGTGCGGGAAGCAAGGGGAGAATGTGGGAGAGGATTAATAGCAATGTGTCTCTTAGTGCAACAAAAACTTAAAATTTAAACATGTACAGTATATTTTGATCATGCCATCTACATTAGTTTAGGCAATAAGGGAGATATACAGTAGGTATTTTACTTCAACACATACATATGATAATGTAATTTACCTTAATTCTTCAAAGATACTTTTTTTGTATTCCTATCTGTATTTGTGGGATCAGTAACCCCATAACCATTTGGGCTGTAAGGTGCATCTTTCCCTTTCACTCTTTATACTTAACACCATCTCACTGCTATGGCCAAATACAAAAAGCCTCTCTCTGTCAGTGTACTCGACAGTCTTCTAAGTGCACTTTCCTTCCTACCCCGTGGTCTTTGGAGACCATGCCGTATTGGGATGCCAGAGGACAGCACACAGCATTCCCTGTCACTGACCCTACCGCTTTCCTACTCAGAACGCTTACTGTCTTGGAATTTTGGAGACTTTAAATTCCTTTTCCACCACTCATTCCTTCCTTCTGTCTTGCACCTTTTCCTTTCCTTTTTGTGCCTCTTCTGTGTATTTTAGATTCCAGAGATTATATTAACCACTAGGAACAAAAGACATGACCTTCTTTATACAGGGAGCTGCCCGCAGACAAAGCTTCTGTATCTCGTTCGTGTTTGTACTCACAGTGCCCCAAATACAGGTTTCCAGTGAGTGCCGAGGTGAGCTGCGTAAGGCAGGGCCGATGAGTCTGCCCAGTGTTCTCCTTAAGTGACCTACACTCTTAACACTGAACGCTTATCAAGTACTTCTGCTCCTCTTTCCGTCTGCTGGCAGTGCTCACTTGGGCTACAGCAGTTTATCTCCATTATTAAAGGCCTCGTCATTTCTCAACGTTACTGAGGACTTGATATATCACACATTGTGCTTCACACCTCACCACGGAGCTTGAGGTCTACTGGAACAAGGATTACGTGGAAGAGTACAAATGTGTAAATTGTAAAAGAAGATTACAAATAAAATATGCTGGATTTGGTGATACAGAATAAACCTAATTTAGTGGGAATACTTAATTTAGATATGCTCAGAACTGGCCTTTTTTTTTGTCTTTTTGAGAGGGTCTCACTATACAGTTCAGGCTGGCCTTGAGCTCACTTTGTAGCCCAGGCTGGTCTCAAATTCACAATGATCTTCCTGCCTCAGCCTCCAAAGTGCTGGGATTACAGGCATGCGCCACCACCCGCAGCTAGAACTAGCCTTTTTTGTAAGGTTCACGCTTACATGTTTGTAGTGGTTGATACACTGTGTCAGCTTGAGAACGGAGAAGTTTAGAACTTTAACTGAGTGACTCAGCAGGGAGCCAGCGCCTTCACTGTGTAAATATCCCCTGCCTGTGTAAGAGAGCAAGAGATGGTGTGGGTAGATAGCTTGCTTACAGTATAAGGGAGGAAAAGAGGTTTGCTTCCCCCCTTTTGCTCTTGTTACTTTTGCTGTCTTGTGCTGCCTTGAACTGTCACCCTCTGCCATGCCACCCTGCCTTGGAGCCAGCTGATTATGGACTGAAACCTCCACAAACTGTGAGCTAAATAAACTTCTCCTTCCTTAACTCTGGACATCGGGTATTTTGTCTCAGCAACGAGAGAAAAGTAACGAAGACAATGTTCAATGGTTTAAGACAGTGGGGTATGGAAGTACACACCTGTAACCCTACCACTGAGAAGTACAGGCAAGAGGATTGCTGTGAGTTCAAGGCCAGCCTGGGCTATATCGTAAGTTCAAGGCCAGCCTAAATGTGAGACCCTGTCCCAGAAAAAGAAACAAAAAAAAAATTTCAAGAAAGTCAGAAATCAGTGATTCTCACTTTACACTGCCATTGCATTGTTAGATTTCCTGTATTCTACCCAACATGCCTCTAATGAGGATAAGTTTCTTGAAGGTAAGGGCTTTCTAGTTCTTCACTGGACCTGACTATCCAGCTTAGTCCCTTTCATAAAGGATGTCATCCTTTGAAGGTTACTGTTTCTTCACATAAATTATTTTTAATCTTCCAAGGCAGGTGTTATCTTTGTTTATTGATGTGAAAACAGGATCAGGACAAAGAACTTGCACAAAGTCACAGACCTAATAAATACTAAGTGCTTGGTTTGGGATTCAATACCAGTCTATAACCCAATACTACTAGTCTTTTCACTATCCAGAAGCTGTAATGTGAGTGCTTGGAAGCATATTTCATTATATTGTGAAACAGCTAAAAATTTTTAAACTCTTTAGCTACTACATCAAAAACTATGAATTTCTACTTTCGGTTGAAAATTCTGATGATCTAAAGACATAGGTCCTAGATTCCTGCACGGCAACAACTGACTAGTGCTCAGTTATTTCTTCTAGATGTTTTGCACTTTATATCAAGCCCAGCTATTTACATAACTTCTCTGGTGGTCCTCTGTGTTTATAAACCTTACATCATTCTAACCTTTAATACAACAGTGTATTACTATGTATTTCAGTATCAACACGAGTTCTACATATAAACATGAATAGGATTTTCCCCCTTAGGGATTAAGATAGTGTAGGGGAAAAGGGCTCAAGATGGCAGCACTGTGGTTCAGGCTGTAGGGGAAGGGGTGGTGATTTCCACTGGACAGTGAGCCTGGAGTCAGTGGAATTCCAGCACAGAAGCACCTCCCAGTCTCCGCGTAAATAGCTTATATAGTCAGGGTTGATACCGGCATGAAGTGACTTTTGTGTACCACCCTATAAATCTAGATTGCACAAGGGCTGCGGGGTCTAAGAGGCTGAAGAAGATAGAGAATGTGCAGCAGCAGCTAAGAGCAACTAGGAGCCGCAGTGGTGGCTGAGCAGCATCTGAAGATAAAGATGTCAAAGCCAGTCCACAGCTCTGCATCTCTTCAGGCTGCCCGAATCTCAAAATAACCTCTTCAGCCAGAACTGGTGGCAAGACACGTAGAAAAGCTACAGATCAAGTCATGCTTTCGTAGAGTTTCAGCTGAGACTGAAACATATGTATGGAGAAAAGAAAAGGCATTCCAGGGAGAGAAAAGCACTGATAAAATATTAGAGCTAGGAATGAGGCTGTTTCTTTTTTTTTTTTGGTTTTTCTCTGGTACCGGGAACCGAACTCACGACCTTGCACTTGCCAGGCAGGCGGTTTTGCCGCTGAGCTAAATCCCCAGCCCCTTGTTTCATCTGTTTTTGACAACAGTATTAGCTGAGGTGAAGATCATGCTGTGCAGAGGTGTAAAAGCCAAGGTGAGGTTTTGAGGTTTTCTGTAGCAGTTATGAGAAGCTTTACACAAAGAAAAAAAACGCAGATCATAAAATTTCACTATTATATGGGATAAATACAAAAGAATGGTTTCATTTACCTTTTTTTAAGGTAGCAGCAACTAAGACAAGGTGTACTTACTTCAAATGAACTTCAGTTTGGGAATGAATTGCTTCTCCCAATACATTTCCAGTTTCATCCACCACAGCAGCTGCTGTGTCATCACAACTGGTTTCAATTCCCAGGACTACTTTATGAAGGGATTGCGTTCTGGGGTGAAAATTAAAACTTCTTAGAAATGCAGAAATTTTCCTTTTTGATGGTTTAGAAAAAAATCCTGCTGTCTTATTCAATATTAACATACTTCTCACTCTAACAGGTAATTCCTGGAAAAGAATTACAAAACCAAACATTATTTGAAGCTGGTATTTGGTTCCTTTTTTAAATTTTAAAAGTAAAGGAACAAAAACATAGTAACAATCAGATAACCATTTACAAAGTAGCACAAGAACAGTACAAGCAACGCTGAACTACATACAAGGTGATGGAATTAACAATGGTTGTTATGCAGCTGATATTTGTGATTAATCTTTTTACTTAAACTAATGAATACTATTTGATTTTTTTCTTTTAATTGTGGTATTAGGGATCTTAAGGCCTTGCACCTGCTAGGTAAGTGCTCTAACACTGAGCCAGCCCTACTTTATTTTTTTTTTTTTAATATATAGGGAATATTTTTAAACGTATAAAAAATATATACAGGACTATAGGAAAGTTTGTAAAAGTCATCAAAACTTTATAAAGGCCGTGAACATAAATAACAGCATAAATGAGTAGAATGCTTTCAAAGGGCAAGAGACATATAAAATTTGTTAGTATTACAGGTTAGGCAGATCCCTAATGCACAAATTTGAAACACTCCCAAACCTGAAACTTTTTGAGTAGCGCTATGATGCTCCGAGTAGAAAATGCCACACCTGTGACATGTCAGCTAAAGCAAGGCATGTTAAAAACAGTACTGCATATAAAATTACCTTCTGACTATGTGTATGAGGTGTATAAGAAATATAAATAAGCTGGGGTTTTAACATAAATCCCAGCACTCAGAAGGCTGAGGCAGAAGGATCGCCATAAACTGGAGGTCTACCTGGGCTACATAAGCAAGTTCAAGGCTAGTCTGCACAACGTGGCGAGACCTTGTCTCAAAAAAAAAAAACAAAAAACAAAGCATAAATGATTTCATGTTTAGACTTGGGTCTCACTGATAAGCTATCTCATGTATATGCCAATATTCCACCCCTCACACACATATTTAACACTTCTGGTCCCAAGCATTTCAGTTAAGGGAGGCTCACCCTGTACTGTTACTTTTACGCTGTTTTTACCGAACTACTCATTATTATTTATAAAATAGGTATTCTTATAGTACAACAGTTGAGTGGATCGTGCTCAGAAAAGTGCTACTTGTTTTTTGATCATTAAGACAAAGTGTAATTTTAAAAACTCAAGAAAGGAAAATAGAACAGGTAGAATAAATGCATCTCATTTCCTGGAAACATTTCTCAAAATAAAATTTAATCATTTGTCTAAAAACGTGCAATCAAAGAGTTAGTCTTAAGTTTAGAAACAAATCTTCTCATACAACTCGTCCTAAGCGCGTCTCGATTAAAACTACCTGCAACCTAACATTATTCCTTAATTACAACCTTTGTAATTAAATCTCCTTTACGCCACAGGTTTATCGTGATCGAAAACTTGTTTCCACCCCACCCCCACGCCCAGCTATGTATCACTAAACCACCTTAGTATTTTACACTGCGCAGTAACTTCTTTCCTTACACCAGTGCTCAAAATTAGGGGATTGGTTCAAACCAACAGCAAATAATATTGGAATCTAGAGGTCGGGCAGCTGCGAGGAGTGCAGCGCACACAGCCACTCCGCAGGAATTAGATTTGCAGTAACTCGATCTGGGAAGGGCAGATTGTTAGCAGCACTTTCCTTTCAGGCCAAGAACGCTCCCGGGTGAACCAGGTGACTTGGGCAGCGCTGATCTTTCTGTTTGCTGTAAGGAGGCGCCGGGTGTACTGGTGAAAGGTGTGGAAATGCTAGAAGTACTCGCCTCTTAAGCAGAAGAACGATATTGGCTAGAACTCGCCTACTTTCCCTAGGAAAAACATCCCAAGGTCTACTCTCCCGCGCAGGAAAAGCGCGCGCTTGGCGCGCCGGAAGTGACATCACAGCAAGGACCAGCAGCCCTTGGGCCGAGTCGGCTATCCTAGTGATGCACAGTTTCGTCTAGCGCCCCTTTTTGTTCACTCAAGTCTCCCGGTTCTACAAAGTTACACAGCTAGTGACTGACTCAGAAGAGCTGAATTTGGGTTTGTCTGAATGCACATGAAGTTCCACAGTGTGCTGCATTTTAAAGTGTTTCGCCTATGGAGATACTGTATAATGTACAGTACCTTGATAAGGGAAATAGAGAGGAACCTAGGAATGTCCTAACCTGCATTGGAGTGCTAGAGAGCGGAAGTGCTTCTGGACGGACAGTCTGCACCGGAACTCCTACTTTGCGAAGAGTAAATGTCTGTGTATACCTCTTTTATTAATCTAACAATAATAAAAGGGAGGCAATGGTAATTTTTTTATTTAAAAAATACATTTTTTCATGTTGCATTACATAGTCGCTGCTTCATATGTGTGCAACTTTCAGTATGGTGTATTCTTTTTAAAATTTTATTTATTTTTTTGAGACGAGGTCTGTCTATATACTCAGGCTGGCCTTGAACTATGTAGCCCAGGCTCCTCAAACTCGCACTGATCCTCCTGCCTCAGCCTCCCGAGTGCTGGAATTACAGGCGTGTGCCCCCATGCCCGGCTATACTTATATTCTTGCACTTTTTTGTTAAGTCTTGCATTGATTTGTGAATTTGTGACTATTTGCTTACGCAGATTTATTCGAAGAGTCTTCTTCCCTGCTAGACTTAAAGTTTGATTGATGTAGAGACAGTCCCACTAGGTAGTGCAGGCTGGCCTGCCACCTTCTAGGAGCTAGCTTTGAATACCCTCCCACCCCCGCCAAGAAAGCATTCAATTTGATGAGAATTCATAAGAGGGATGAATGTTTCAGAGTGTCACTAGATCTGCCTGGGGAATACAGCAGAATTTTAGTCAAGCCTCTGAGCAGAAATCTTTCCAAACCTCTCTGACACCCCTCAGGAATGCTGCCCTGTGCTTTCTTTACTGGTAAGATGGTGCAGGTTGTCCATCTCAGGCATCTTAGCTCTTAGGCAGCATCCCAAACTGGGGTTCATAAAACTAACCACTGCAGGCAGGAAACACGTTTTACACGTCCTAGCATCCTGGGAACACAGGACTCCGTTTCTCTTCAAGGTTAACAAGGTAACACAATGGGTAGGGATATAACTCAGTAGCATAGAACCTTCCTGGCAAGTGTTAAGGTTCTGAGTTCGATTTCTGATACCAACAGAAAAAGAAAAAAGGTAACACAAGAGTGACTGTCTTCTCTTGCTTTGTAACTTTTGCCTGTTCCGCACTATAAAAAGAAAGCACCCCTTTTTGTTCTTTGTTCAGCCTTAGAAGGTGAGTTCCCTGAGCCAGTCAAACGTCCTCCTGTTTCTTCCCTGGTCTCTCCCATCTCTTGGATTTCCCACAATAGGAATAACCAATACATTAACTGGGTTTTCTGTTCACATTTTAAAAATTATAAAATGGAAAAAATTATAAAACAGAGAAAATATTGTGTATTTATCTCCTTGATAGTATAGTCAACCTATGCAGAATATCTGAAAAATGTGTTTTTCAAAATAAGGTTGTCAATAAAAATTTATAATTGTGCAATTGTAAAGTCAGAGAAAAAATTCCTTTATATTAAAAGTTGGTTTTATGTAGGCCTATAATTTTAATGATTTGGTTTCTTTTCAGTTCTTGTATTTGAGAAAATTTTTATAAACAAATATTTATGTAGAATACAAGAACACAGTGATAAACGGCTTATCTGGTAAATTTAAAATTAGTGGAAGTTTAGAACTGTAGCTGAGTCACTATCGTAACATTGTCAAAGGCTTGAAAAATGAGTCAAGATATGGAATAAGTTGCGTTATTATGCTGACTGTAAAATCCAAATGTTTTTACTAAACCTTTTTTCTAACATATTTAAGGAAACAGTACTGAAAATAATGTAAACTTCTGTAAGCTCCACACCCACCTAAGAGATGAAATATCACTCAACAGAGCTGAAGCAGTATGTATGCTACATACCCAGGATATTTGGTATTTTGAATTGGATATTTACAATGCTGATGCATTCATTTGTGGTTAAATGGAAAATTTTAAACACATGTAGCACATGATTTGTTGAATCTTTTTCAAGTGGAACTGAAATTAAGGAGTAAAATAAAAACTTGTGACATGTCATAGTTTTTTTGAGGGGGAAGGGGCATATAGTATAGGGGATTGAACCCAGGGCCTTGGGCAGCCTAGGCAAGTACTCTACCACTGAGCTACATTCTCAGTCCTTTTAATTTTGAGATAGGGTTTCTCTGAGTTTCCCAGGTGCCCTCCTGCTTCAGTCTCCTGAGTCCCCAGGATTACAACGTGTGCATCATCCTGCCCAGCTGGTTTTTCTTAAAACTAGGCAAAATGGAGAACAGTACCATTGCTCTTCTCGTTTCCCCTTTCCTGTCTGGCACTACTCCAAATGTTTTGGGTATTTTACCTAGGCCTATCTTCCCAGGACATGTAACACATGATTTCTTGAATCATTTTTAAGTGGAACTGAAATTAAGGAGTAAAATAAAAACCTGTGAATTGGTTTTTTTGGGGAAGGGCAAACTGTCCGTATTTTGCACATCTCATGTAAGCCATGTTACTGTTTTGCAAATTGCACTTTTCTGTCCTGTTAAAAAGACTATTAAGCTGCATTGGTTTGTACCCGGATGCTGCATTGGTTTTCTTCATAAAAAGAATCTGAGCCACCTTTACTGGTTTCCTGTATTAATATGGGAGACATGTTATGTGAAAATCGAGATTTAAGTTTAGCTAGATAAGGTGAAACAGGCTAAAATCTATCAAGATGAGCTTCCATCAGAAACACAAGCCCTAGCTTTTGGTTTAATAAATCCATTTAATAAATATATGAAAGGAAAGCCATCAGTTTACAACTCCACATGCTGAAGACGTGCGGGTTTAGTGACCATAAAGGGAATCAATGATATATGACTGTCAAAACAGCTAAAGCAGTATGAGGCTACATTAAAAAACAAAAAAATCCAAAATAAGGGAGGTGGTACTGGAGCACATCTTATCACCTATTTTATAGTGCTATGTAGTAAAAAATAAACTAGAACCTACAGCACTGTTAGGATGTGGAAGAAATGAAACACTACTGTATAAAAAATGAAGGGCCATAGTAATGCTGTTGATATTAGCTTGAACATTATCTTTAAATAGCACAAAGTTATATGGAGCAAGAAATAGATTTTGGCTCAATGTAAAAATCATAAATTCCATTACCAAATGGACCATGCTGTCTTACAGTTGTAAATCCTTCTCTAATAGTGTTAAATCAGAAGCAAACGGAGGGGTGATGGTTAATGAAGATTCTAGCTAATGTAGGGTGCTGAATTAGATGGTCTCTAAGGGCTTTTCTAACTCTTACCAATAGATAACATTATCAAGCTAATGCATACAAATATTATGGAGATGAGGTGATAACCCCAGGATTGGTATAGTTTAATATGTACAAATTAACACCAAAAACCTACAGAACAAAAAAGGGTGGGGGCAGGTAAAAAGGACACAAGAACCAACTGGGAAGAACTCCCAATGGTCCGCATTGGAGGACAGTTTAGCAACAAATTAATGATAATAACGATTCTAAGCCAAAGAGTAACACACTCATGGGTTCATAAATGAACAAATAGGGGAGCAGAGACAGACCTTTCCTACAGGATAATTCCAGGAAATAAATATAGAAGAAATGAGAAACAGAAAAGTATCATTCATACTCTAGTAAAATATCACTGTAAGACAGATCCATTGATGGATGCTACAATTAGTGGTATTTCTAGGTTCATGACTTTTTTTTTTTGTCTTTTTGAGACAAGGTCTCGCTATGCAGTTCAGGCTGACCTTGAGCTCACTTTGTAGCCTAGGCTGGGCTCGAACTTGCAAGGATCCTCCTGCCTCAGCCTCCCGAGTGCTGGGATTACAGATGTGCGCCACAATGCAGGGCTCGGTTCATGCCTATTTAAATTGCCGTTTTGTCTCCTGACATAGTATCAATTATAACATGGTAATAGCTTTTGTTCCAAGTAATTATACATTTTAAAGTATCTTTAAAAATATACATATAAATTTGTGAAGTGGGTAAAGTTTCCGTATTTAGCACAACCTTTATCTAGATAGTAATGCCAAAGCCAGGAATCATTTCTCTCTCTCCTGCCGACTACATTCAGTGCTGAGCGCCTTGTGAACTGTACTTGCAAAGGAGATGCAAGCCCAGCATCTGCTAACTCGTCAGTCCAAGCTCCACTCTCGCTCGCAGCAGCTTCCCAACTGTATTTCCCACCTTCTATTCCCTTTATTCCCAACATTAGCCAGTGATCTTTAAAATAAAATCAGATCCCTTTAATCTGTTGTATAAAACCCTCTAATGGGTTTGTCATGCTTAGAGTAAAATCTATTTATTTTCTTCATCTATGAAGCCTTTTATAATCTGGCCCCTACTTATTTCCTGGCCTCATTTGCTACCATTCTCCTCCTCCTCGCTTATTTCTCTTTAATCCCAGTGGCTGTCTTGTTCTCCCTTAGACATGTCTCATTCCTGCCCAAGAACTTCAGTAATATCACTAGCTCTACTGCCATTCTTTCCTTAGACCTTTGGACTGCTTCCTTCGTATCAGCAATGCCTGTGTATAAATGTCACCCAAGATAGCATCCACAGGGAAGATCTTTCTAAGGCAGGCCTCCCAGGTCTGTCATCTGTATCATAGCATCATTACACAAAATCACACATATTTGTCTATTCATTTATTATAATCTAAGTATCTCCAGGGAGGAAAATGGCTTGTCTTGTATACAAACTGTCTTTAGTATCTCAACTGGGTGAGTTCTCACATATCCACTAAGTATATATATCCATCAGTGAAACCAGAAAGGAGAAAACCTAAGGGTCAATTTCCATCTTTGAGGTATGTATAGAAAAGGTAAGCCTTTTGAGGTAAACTTTAAAATGAAGTAGGATTCTCTTGGGAGGCTGGGGAAGAAAGACTGTGAGTTCACAGCCAGCCTGAGCTACATAGTAAATTCCAGTCCACCTTGGGCTACATAGCAAGATACTGTTTAAAAATAACAAACACACAAAGCAAAACAAAGGAATATTTTTAGTTATTTTAATTTTACAAATTCAGTTCTTTAAAAAAAACTTGAAAAATGTCAGTATAGTTTAGATGATTGAATTGGAAAGCTTTTGAAATAATCTTACACCAAAGAAAAATTTTATTAAAGTATAGATTACCAATTATTTAAAAATACATGGGAAAAGACAAACGTACAAAGGCAACTTTGTATCATACAAGTGATTTCTAAGCTCTATACTTTTGAAATACAAAACAATGATCGCTATTCCTAAGTTTATTGACACAAATTGACTTTTAAGTTGGTCTACAACTCTTTTCACTCAATTTTGTTTATAAATGTTACTGAATTTTATGATCATTCTATGTCAGAACTTTGTTTTTTGGATGTGTTTACTTTTCCAAGTAGTATATAGTTATTTCTTGCAATTAAGATTAACAACCAGAGGAAGCTTCCTTAAGTCATAAAAATTTAACATGGTCATTGCTCTGGAAATAGTTACCCTTTGGTAACGTCTACACTAAAACCCACATTTTTAAAGGCAAAATATTAATGGGAAACTATGAAACTTGACAGCAGGAGGAATAAAAAAAGACGACGTTATCTTTTACTGCAGATTTGCTAAAAAAAAGGACTCTATTGCTTCCTTTGGTACTATTGCTAGAGAAGCATTTTCTGCAACCACAGGGGGCTACATAGTTATTTTATATTTTCTTTTCTAAAGAATGATGGCTTTACCAATTAGGTTGCTCAATCCAAGTAGACCCTTTTAAACTACTATATACTTTAACTGCTGAAATAAATTATTTTCTTAATCGGTTTAGCAGCTTTGTATCTAGAAAAGCAGTAAAACCCACTTTGTTCCAAAATTAGAATGCTGACTCAGAGGCTGCTTGTAAGATACCTGGTATCTTCTATCCCCACTCACGAAAGAGGACTTTCACAAATTCTGTAATGTATGCAAAACTGACCTTATCTATCAACACACAATATTTAGCCAGCAAAACCAAAAAGCATACTTATAAGGTAGGAACTGGCTTATAGAAACAAGAGGGCATAAATCCTCATATACGAGGAACACGTATGGTAATAAAAACAACCTATAATAAACATGTATAGAGATGATTCTCATTCACATGTAAGCCTCCTTAAACTGTCTGTGACTGATTGGAAATTGTCTTTTCATAACCTAATGCCCATTCACTGTACGTTAAGTTGGTCCTATTTGCTTACAAATCTTCTATTTCCTTGGATTTATCTACTACACCCTCACTGTATTGCCATTAATTTATAAGCTGGGCCTGCCCAGCTTGCCAATAAAGCCTCTCTTCAGAAATGTACCAGATGCTTTAAACAGAGGCATCTTTTAGAATTCTGCACTTCAAGACAGCATATGAAAAACCAGCAACTGGCCTCTCAATGCAAATACCTCCATTTCACATTATCACAGAAACAGTGCAGTTTACTAACTACTCCTTCCTTATCGGAAACTCAGTAGCTGTAAAAATTTTTTGTTCAGTTTTAAAACCTTTCAATACTTATTAATTCCAAAGATCCGAACACCATGTAGTTGTGGCATTTTGGGAATAAGCACACTCAGGAGAGACGCTGTGTTTAGGATGAAGTGAGTTGGATCATACTTCGTATAGAAACTTGCCAGAAAATATCTGCAGAAATAGAAGTTAAAAATACATATAACATCCAAACAAAATTACTCAGAATTTTAAAAATCGAAAGATAGATAAAAGGCCACTAAACATAAATTACCTAACAGTAAAACTTTTTGAGCATCAAAATAAAAAAAAAAAATTTAGTCTGGGCCCAAGTTAATTTAATTTAGCATTTAGAAACCTGTTTAATGGAAGTGTACATTTTGCACTTCTGTAACGATGTTAAATGGATTTGAGAGCATGCTCTGCCACTTAGCCTCCTTTAAAGCAGAAGGCTTTCAAAAAGTTTTCATATCCTCTCTAGGACTTCACGTACAGTTTTGTACTTCTGTATGTGTTCCTGAAGAGAAGACCTGGATCCAAAACATCTGTCATGTTCTCAAAGGGTTTTGCGTGTGACTCACTGAAAGGTTAAGGACCGCTAGTGTAAAACTTTGAAAAGTAGGGTTTTGGTATATTAGGACAGTTCAGTATCTTTGAAAGAAACAAATACCTGGTTAGCCCTTTGTGTTCTTCATTTCACACTGCAATTGAACAGGTGTACAACAAGTCTAACTGTTGAAAGACACTGTTGTAAAATTTCAACTGCTTTGCTATAACTGAACATGTGTGCAGAGAGCCATTTAAGAATTAAACAAGTGTAAACCATCTTTAAGACCATAAATCATCATGCCTGGAGTCTGTTGTTACCCAAGGGTACATCAGAGTACAGATATATCATCTAGCTATTAAAAGAGTATTTCTAACATAGAAAAGATATATCATGCCTTGATTATAACTAAGAAGGTAGTTTTCATATAAATGTTTGTCTAATTTTAAAGCACATAAGCAAAGTATTATAATAACTGTTCCTCTAATTACTGTCATTAGCTCATCATAAGGGGGGGAAATAACTATCTTATTTAATATGGTTAGAAAAGAACAGCTGCTTCTATGTATGACTAAAAACATAGTCAAAGAAATACATATATCATTTTCAGAATTGTCTAGATTGAGAAGTTCTACCATCTTCTATCTAGTTCAAAAATAGCCAGAGCCAGGTGTGGTGGTGCACGCCTGTTGATCCCAGCACTTGGGAGGCTGAAGTAGGAGGATCACTGTGAGTTCAGGGCCAGCCTGGGCTACAAAATGAGCTCAAGGCCAGGCTGAACTGCATAGCAAGGCCCTGTGTCAAAAAGACAAAAAACAAACAAACACACACACAAAAAAACAAAGCCAGAAAATTCTTTCTAGAGAGTAAACTGTATTCCTCAATTGATGCTTTAAATTCTTTCTTCCTGCTTTCATATACTAGAAGACTGTTTTTATACTTCCGTCACTAAACAAAATAGGATAGCACTTTGCACTTAGTCCATTAGATTTGGCATCATCAGTATCGGTTTGATTATAATCTGACAGATTAGAGATAATAAATTTGCTATGGCTTCTCCTTCCATACTGTAGCCCATGTCTTTTCGCCTTTTAATGAAAACTGTGTAGACTATATGAAAATTACCTAGTTCTTAATAAAAATCTTAGGATGACCCTCTGAGGGACCAAATCCAGGTGGGAATCAGTGTGAAAGCATTTATTTGCTAGGGTTCTACAGGAAAGAAACCTATATTGGAAGACAGACATTTAGGGTTTAATCTGAGCTTCTGACTCCAAATAGCTTGCAAGGTCTTTAGCAAATTCATGCAATTGAGATTTGTTTCTGTTCCTTTATCTAAAAATTTGAGAAAACACCTTATGTCACACTTACTTGACAAATCGTAATGAAATATGGAAACATGAAAGCACTTTGAAAAGAATCAAGGCTGGGGATGTAAGATAGGACACTAGCCTTGCATTGTGAGGCTCTAGGTTCAATCCCCAGCACCGAAAGAAAGAAAGAAAGAAAAGAAAAGAAAAGAAAAGAAAAGAAGGAAGAAAAGGAAGGAAGAAAGGAAGGAAGGAAGGAAAGAAAGAATGTAAGTCAGTGTTATATAGATGGCTTTAATGGTGTTTGCTCAGTTATGTGAGGAATTTTACTGGAATATACAAAATCATACCTATGAGTAAAAATTGTATTTTGAGAAATAGGGAGATTATATATAGATACACTTAGTTATAATAGCTCCTATCAAAAATTAGGTATATATCAAGATTTTTCATGTATTACAATATAATCCTCTGTAACAGACTTTCAAGAAAATGATAAAAAATCAAATATCCTAAAAGCAGTAGAGAAAAAACCCAACTTTTGAATTGTCTAAATAACCATTATTGCATTTATTTTGTTAGACTATACAGATATTCTTCTCTTGAAATTAATTTTATATGGGACTAAACACAAAACTTCCATAAGAAATAGAAATCTATCACTTTACTTTCACTTGAAAATACTTTCACTTAAATATCTATTTAAAATCTACTCCTTCCTTAGTTAGCTCTAAGAATTCCAAACCTACCGAAAGTCTTTCCAGGTACTCCAGACTGCACTGATTCTACCATGGATACAGTATTACGTACAAGGTGTGTGATACGGCTTCATTAAGATGTATGTCAAAAGTACCTATTATGTGCAAGCCATTAAGGGTGGAATTCAAAGCAATCTCTATATACTTATAAACTCTTAAGAGGGAAAAAAAAAACATATAAAATTTTTAGTTTGTCATTTATACCTAAAGAAAGCTGAAGGGGGGGCGAAGTAAAGGCACAGAAACAGAACTACCCACAAAACAGTCAAGAAATACTTCTTAACACATCCACGACGGGGCTATAATTCTTGTCTCATTGCCGGGCGGCTTGAACCAGGGGTACACATGCAAGACTATCCCACTGGGCAACTTTGTATAAATTTTGTTAGTAAAAAAAACCAGTAAAAGTGATTAAATCTATTTGTTCCACCAGTGGTGCGAGCCAGCTGGAATGTGTTCAAAACAAAACAAAACAAAAAATGGTGCTTAGAAGAGCCTAATCACATGGGAGTTGGATGGGAATAAAATTTTCACATAAAAGGAAAATGAAGTAGGAACTATTTTGTGGAAAGTCCTGAATGCTAGGTAATGGAAGTTACATAGATATAACATTGGATGCTTTAAAAGTAGGTAGCTTATTTGTTTCTCACAGCATCAAGATTTTCAGGCCTTAGTAGCCAAAATTTGATATGTGAACAAACCAAACTGACTGAATGATAGATCCAGGAATTAAGTCAGGTCTGTCTTATACTTAAAGCCTGAACTCTCCTTTTCCCCCAACTATACTCTCCCAAGTATTCTGAATATCCAAATAGGGCTGAATGGCCGAGAAAATTCTTCTGATCATCTAACTCACCACTGAGGGTGACTCATTTGACAGTACAATACAGAATATAATCCATTTTCTTACAGGAAACATAAGGACAGGAGCTGGAATACATCTGACCATTATATCCTAGAACGTCTAGGTACACTGATAAACAGGTAATATTGTTTCCCAAAGTGAACGAAGTGAAAACTGTTTTCTTCAACTTGTCAAAAATTCTGTCTGTACCTTATACTCTGAGGTGGCTACTTATTGAGAGAAATTTTTAACAAAATATTGTTTCTAATTCTAATTCAGTCTGAAAAATCTTCCTGTTGTTCAATCCTCTTTACATTTAAATATTTCTACCACTTACAGAATTATTGGTGAAATTGTGAAAAATTTCCGTGAAGATGTAAACTGTACTCCATAGTCCAGTTGTTCCCAATGAGTTAGAAGTCTTGCTTTACCCTGGTCAGGAGTTTCAAAAGGTGTTCCTTTCACTGCATGTAAAAACACATACATCCCCTGGAAAACAAGCAACAGGACATATAATTAACAACAAATGCAAAATTAGTCCTTGCCAGTAACCAGTAACATGTGTCCAAGCTATCTGACAGATTAGTGAAAGGCTGTGGTCAATTTCTGTATAGCAAATGAACCTTTCTGAGCTATATACATATTATCTGCTGAAAATCAGTATAAAGTCAACCCAAGTAACTATTTTCAATTCTTTTTATTAAATTGAAAATAAAAAGTATCAGAGTAGCTTCCCATTCTTACATTTAGGTTCTCTAACACCTTTCTTATTAAGAGATAGGATTACTTTTTTCTAAGTATATAGTATTAATGTATTCTTCAGATTGGCCTATTTGTAAAATGGTGGACATATAAACTGATAAAAAAAACAAACAAAATCTTTACACTGGGGAAAATGGTTTTGAAATACTTAACATTAGAACTGTCTTTGTACCTCAGTAGTTTTCTTCCAAAGTAACAAAGATGGTTTGATGTAAAAGGTATAACGTTTGACTCAATTTACTTTTAAAATCCCCACTGTGCCTCTTTCAAGTTAGTTTTAAAAATCAAAGTAAGAAGTATTCCTAAAAGCCATTGTTTGTGATATTATTGAACACTTACCTTTGTGATTACTCAGAAAATTAGTGATTTGAAATTTTACTTTGTACTAGGTTAAGACAGCCCCTCCTTGCAAAGCTTAGTCTGTTTTCTAGCAAATGTATTAAGCAGTTCAAAAGTAGTTTAGCCGCAGTAACACCTAAACTATAGAGAAGGACTAAGTTACACTGGGTTTAACTCAAAAATTTAATGAGTAGCTAATATACATTACACATAGAACACAGAACATGTATGCACACATAAAATTAAACAAGACATGTCCTCATCCTTAAAAAAATTCAGTTTTCTAAGGTATGGCAAGAAAAATATACCAATTAAATGGCAGGGCAGAAACTGCTACCAAAAGTGTAATTAAGAGTACTCAGGAAATACAGGGGAGAAAAGGGTTTCTTATTGCTGAGCCAAAGCCTTGACACTATCTTGTCAACTACCTTATTCTTGAAAGATCAACTCAAATGACAACTCTTTAATGAAAACTTCAATAGTAATAATTAACCTGTTTAAGTACTTGCCTAGAACTTTACTTCAAGTACCTTATTATAGCACAATATATATTGAGTTTTGTCCATAATGTTGTCCCATTGATCTGAATACCTCAGGAATAAGATCTGGTATAGATCAAGTATTAGATATGTTAGAAGATAGCATTCAGCTAAGGAGTGTTTATACAGTAAGTATAAACCATTTTTACAAGGCTTAGAAGTAAACTATGAAACTATGCTTTCAAATTTTCAGGAGTCTATAACCTAAAAAAAGTTAAGAACCTCTACTCTAGATCACAGATGCATTAGAATATGTCTAAAAGAAGAAAAATTCTTTTGCTATTTCTTTCAAACCACATGCACTTACTAGTGTTAAAATATAAAATCCAAATGGTTTATTGTTCTCAACAAAAAAGATTAAAATCTGTGTTTGGGCTTACCTAGCACGTGTGAGGCTGTGGGTTTAATCCCCAGCGCCACAAAAAATGTTTTCTGACCATGTATCTTCTATTAAAATTTAGTGATGATTTTCCACACAGCAAATGAATTTGACAGCAAAGCATGCATCTCATGGCTAGCCTCTGATAAATATTTACTATATCAAAATAAAGAGAAATCACTTCTTTTTTAAAGTGGAGCCAATAATCTTGTAAAGCATTAACAGGACTGAACTGTAGACTGAATAAAAATAATCACTGTAGGTGTCTACTGTATGGTTCAGAAACACAAATATAGTGTTAGTTTTCTAACTAGGTACAACAATGAGGTCTATCTGTGTTTAAAAGCACATAGGATGTATTTCACATTTTTAGTTAGTGTAGGCTGTCTTAAAAGCAGATTTCAATTTAGAGTCATGTAATTGCTACACCTATGCTGATTGTTAGGTTTTTAGTGTGGTGAGCTAATAAATACATCAAAAGTTTGTTTTCCTGCATGATATCAATTATCTGTTGTTTGTTCATGGTCATATATTATGCATCAGTCTTGGTCAATCAACTTGAAAACTAGGAGAGGGAAATGGAGGATGGCTTCTAAAGTGCATTCAAGACATGTACCATGGGGGAAGGAGAAAGTTATTCAGCAAACATTTAAGTAGGACATGAGAGAGACAAAGGGTAAGATAAAAAACAGATGAACTATTAATTATAAAATTATGATAAATCAGTTGTGGTGGAACACGCCTATAATCCCAGCATTTAGGAGGCTGAGGCAGAAGGATCCTTGCAAGTTCAAGACTAGCCTGGGCTACAAAGTGAGCTCAAGGCCAGCCTGAACTGCATAGTGACGTCCTGTCTCAAAAAGACAAATAAATTAAAAAAAAAAATTATGATAAATACATAAATAATTCAGAGAATTGTATAGATTCCTGGAGGAGGTGATACCTGCATTGTTTGGCTTGGCAGGTAGGAATCACCCAGTCAGGGCAGAAAGTAGGAAAGAGTATTAAAATAGTGACAGCCAGATGATTCTCTTCACAGAGTACAGTATCTACAGATGGCTGAGACAAGACCGAGTCCCTTCCTGCCTCTGCACTGTTACTAAATAGTTGTCTGTGTCACACAAAGGACTTGAGATTTTATTATAAATGCAAATGGAGAATTCTTTATTTAAAAAAATATTTCTTTTGTAAGTTGCAATAGAAGAGGGTAGGGGAGCAACAAAAGAGCACTTGATTTACTGGCGTAATTTACTTGAGGAAAATAATGAGGGTATGAGGATCAAGCCGATAGTAAAGTAGGTCACACAGGACTCTGAGCACATGGTCAAGGACTACAAAGGAAAAGGAGGAGATACCCTAAAATGAGGGTGATTAGGGGTCTAGTTTGCATAGGACAGCTCAGGCTCTGGTTTACACCTTTCTTTGGGAGTAGTTAGTACTAGCACTCCCTTTTACCCTCACATCTCAGTTCCGATGATACTTTATAGTAATCACTGTGCCACTGACATTTCAGCTTCAGCTGTCTGGCTGCTTCCTGGGCAGACAGTGGTGCCCTCAGGTAAGATTAGGAGCAAAGTCAAAGGAGCAGACTGGGGTTGGGTCGGAGATAAATCAGGAATACACTGAGTTCTATTTACATTTGTTTGGTTTGAGGTGGAAGGTGATCTGGCAAGACGAACACGAGCATGAAGCTAGGCATGGGGGTGCCCAGCACTTAGGAAGCTGAGACGGGAAGATCCCTTGAACCTAGGAGTTTAAAGTCAGCCTGGGCAACTTAGCAAGACCCTATCTCTCAAAACACACACAATAGTATTTACCCTATCAAAGTCTACCATATAAAGCTGGACTAAATGGACATTCACTTGTCACTTCCTTCAGTACATCACCTTTGTCTTTCTCCAATCAACCTCAAATATATGCAAGCAGAAAAGTATTTATTTAAAAAAATCTGTTTCTCCTACTTTTTTCTGTCTTACTGTTCAGTTCTTTTATTCTTCTTTTTAAAATTTTTGGTGTGGATTCAGTTAAAAATCTGTTAGCTGGTTTTCCCCTTTCTACCTGCTTCCCCCATTACTGGGGACCCAGGGCTGTAATCACACTGACTCACATTCCCAACACTTTTTTTTTTTGTGGTCTCACTAAGTTGCTAAATGGCCCCAGACTGTGGTTGGACATCTTGCCTCAACCTCTCAGTGTTGGGATTACAGATGTGACCCATCATATCCAGTTTCATTTTACTTTGATAGGCTGTTAAAGATAAGAAAAGTCACAACTAGGATTACTGAGTGAGTGGCTTCTGTTTTTATTTTTTCTGCTAATAGGCAATTCCTGGGATGCAAGACAGGATCAGTAGTTAAACAAACTATACTTTGTAGAACTAATACAATACAGAAGGAGATGGTTAACAAGAAGCAGCTAAGGCACCTTAGGATGTTAAGTATGATCATGCTCAAAATTTCTGTTCTAAAAGAAAACAGTCTCAGTTTGGATAACAAATTAATAGCAAGCCAACTCCCAAGAAATAGCTAAGTGTTTTAAAATTATTTCAATATATGTGTTAATTGGTTTCATTTATACTGCTAGTTTATCTTAGTTTGCTAAAAAGAAAGATTTGTGTTGTTATCTGTTTGTTTCTTTTTTGTAAGAATGTTTTTTAGTTTATTTCTTTTTGCGGGGGGGGGGACAGGGCCTCCCTCTGTAGTTCAGGCTGGCATTGAATTTACAGCAATCCTCCTGTCTCTGTCTCCCCAGTGCTGGGATTACAGGCATGCACCACCACACCCAGCTGGTTTTTGTCTTGTACTGAGTAACTACTTTGAAGATAATGATACACAGTATTAAAAACTGTTGCTATATAAAAAAGCAGCTAAGGTATGCTATAAAATGCTGAGTATGACTGAATTCAAAATCTCTGTATTGAAAGAGGAATGTATACTTAAACACTTTAGAAAGACTTTAGGATTGAAACTTTATTTTCTTTGACTCCAGCTGACCAAAAAAGGAGAAATGCTTCTGAAGCATTTTGGTTAGTTAATTCCTTATAGCTGTAATTACAGTGTCTTAGAATTTTTACTAAAGTGACCCACTATTTTCTAGATTCTATACAAACAACTGGAGAAAAAAAGTCTTCCTTATAATAAAGGCCCAATGTTAAAGTCTGTCAGAAAAAATAAAACCCTATACCAGATCAGAATTCTTCAAAATTAATTCTTCTATACTACAAACCACTGAATTATATGTTTTGTTTATGCACAAAGCACACATTTCAAATAAGTGAATTTTATAGTATATAAATTATATCTCAAGCAAAAAAAAAAAACAAAAAAAAAAACCACCATTGTTGGGCTGGTGGGACATCCACCTGGCACGCACACAGCCCTGGGTATGAGTCCCAGTGCTGCAAACAAAACACAGCATCCCAGACCAAAGCCCCATTTTTGTTTACACTGTATCAAGTATATCCATACTCTTATGGAACCATCACACTATCATTCATTTCCAGAATCTTTTTCATCTTGAAAATTGAATCTCTGTACCCATTAAACATGAACTCCCCATTCCTTCTTCCCCTTAGCCCTTCACAAGTAGTAAATCTTACGCTTTTAAGTGGTTAGAATAAAGTTAAAATTCTTACCAGATTATGTATAATATTTGTTAAAGTCCAAGCAACAGGAACACTGAAGAAAGGAATGCTGAGTAAGACAATATGAAGCAAGCCAACTCCTAACGCATATGTCAGCCACATACCCCGGCTGTTCATTACCCGAGTATTTGGATTCACCTCACTGTGGGCAACTCCAACATTCATGTTTGCACTGTAGGGAAGAAATGAAAAGAAGCAACACTGATACAGCTGGAAATGGAAATAGCCCTAATTCTGACATGATGAAAAGCTACCAGGATCATTTTTTCCTTGTTAATTTTGATACAGAACAGACATATTCTCCAAAGTATGATACTTGCAGATGCTGATGTAGGGGGGTAAAGAATCCTTAACATTTGAATTTACAGAAAGACAACAAGACTTGTTATCACAGTTTGTTTTCCAGCATGTTGGTTTTACTAAATGAAATAATGCTAGGGAAAACACAAACTGGAAAGCGAAAACCCTACATTTTTTTTTTTTTTTTTAAAGTATCAGGAGTACAAAATAAAACGGAGTTAGCTGGATATGTGGCACATGCCTGAAATCCCAGCACTCAAGAAGCTGAGGCAGGATTGCTGCAGCCAAAGTCAGCTTGGGCTACATAGTGAGGATAGCCAAAACTACACAGCCAACTCCTGCCTCAAAAAAAAAAAAAAAAAAAAAAAAAAACCACAAAGCCAAGAGTTAAACTCAGCAACAAAGTATTTTCTTAAAAAATAAAATGACCCAGCAAGTTATCTGAGTAGCCAGATTCTCACATCTAATGTACTGTTTTGTACATAGAGTGATCAGAATTCAAAGGACTTCTTTTTTGAATCCTGAATCTGGGAGGAACATGGCTTGACAAAGTGTACAATTTACAGAGTCAAGGAGTAACATCTGCGTCTCACTTTCGTGACACAAGAAGGGTAAAGTGACTCTTTCATCTGAGTATTTCTCTAGAGTCAACACCACTAAAACTTGAGTTTCCTTTCTCTTAAGGTTTCTGTATGCCCCTTTTATGTTCAAGATGAACACCAAAGGAAGGATCTATAATAGGTCTCAGTCATTTTAGTGAAGATGCTTATTTGGGTTTAAGAATTCCTTAAGCTTAAAATCAAACTGTCCTGAAGAACACCTACCATCCCAGGGAGGGGGTTCAACGGGGCTAAAGTACATTTGTAACAGCTCCCATGTGAAATCATATAAACGCTTTTCATTAAAGAGCACGGTGAGGAGTTCCTCGTAGCCTATGGGGCATAATGAACCTTCTTCCCCGCTGAAGCTCTCTGGAATGGGCATCACGGCTGACAGCGATCGAAGTTACACAGAGACAAAGCACAAGTCTCTCCTGCGTACGCACGTGAGTAAAACCTCCATCAACACCCACCGTTTACCCCCTCCTCTTTCTAAATGTTACGGTATCTCTGAACATTCCACCACTCAAGCTATTTTTCCTACTTTCCACAAGACGGAAAACAAAAGGCTGCAAGGTGGCCTAAAATTTACGCCTCTGGAGAGCGGGGCAGGGGCAGGGGCAGAGGAAGAGTCAGGCGTGTTTTACGTGCACCGACCCCCCGCCCGGTGAATGTAATCGTCACGCACCTGCAAACACACACTCCCAGAATTTTGTGAGAAGAAAGGGGCCGGGCAGAGCCGGCGCGGTGCCGAGGTCGCCCCGACTAGAAACGCGGTCCCCGCGGGTGCCCGCCTCCCCGCGCCCGGCGAACAAAGACTCGGGGACCGGGAGACGGCGTCGGCGCCGCCCTCGCAACACCGACCCTTTTGGGGACCCCCCGCCGGCCACAGAGCCCCGGCAGCCGACTGCCGCCTCCCTCCGGGGTCACACTGCCATCCCGGGGGCCGCGCACGGCGACGAGGACCGCAGGGGGCGCAGGCGTCCGGGGCCACTCGGCCCGCAGCGGGGGCAGGCAGCGCGCCGCGGGGGCGGCCGCAGCCTCTTCTTCCCTCCTCGGCCGGCACGGACCCCTCGACGCCCACAGCCATAGGAGAGCCAGTACACACTCACCCGCCGCCCGCTGCAGGCTGCTGGCGCGGCGCGGAATACCTCGGCAGCTGGAGGAGCGTTTCCTCACACCCTGCTCCGGCAGGGCGCTGCGGACGGAAGCAGTCCCGGCCGGCCGCCCTGCCGGTGATTGGCTACCAGTCGTGTCAATCTCGCCTCCCCGAGGGGCGGGACTACGGGGCGCGACGGGTGCCCGCCCCTTCGCACACGCGCGCTGGGGCGAGTGGGGCGTCGCGCGAGGCCGGGCCTGGGGTCTGGGTGGGATGCTCGCTGCTCGCCGCCCGCTGGTGGATGGTAATTACCTGCCTCGCACGAGCTGGAAGGTAGTGTCGCGGGGCTCCAAGGCGTTCGTCTCACACTGTCCTGAGTTTGAGGTCCCGCTGCTCCTCGACTCCCGCCGGCTGGCGTCCGGCCGCGGTGGGCGCCTCCCCCGGGGCGGGAAGCGGCGCAGGTGGGGAGCGCGGCCCGCGTCAGCGGTGGCCTGGCCTGGCTTTTGTTGCAGCCCTTCTCCCAGATCTGGTCGCTAATCTTAAAAGAAACTTGTCTTCCGGGCGGGACATTTAATCCCAACAACCGTAACTTGCCTGCGAGTGAGCACGGCATTGCAGTAATGCGCTTCGCTGTCCCGACAGGGGGACCAATGAACTCGCCCTGTAGTCGCTCGGAGAACAGCTGGAGGCGTTCTGCGTTATCCCCACGCCGAGTGCAGGCGCCAGTGCACCCTGAGAACGTGCGGACGTCACGGATTGATACTATTTGAGAATGGAGAGGAATAGATTTGATTAGATTTTTTTGAATCATCTTTGAAATCAAATTACCTTTATCTTGGCAGTACATAAAGTTTTTCATTTCTGAAATAGCGTGCCAAAACATTTCAAAAGTTGCCTTAAGAGAATGTTGGTTCTATATGTGTAAATATCCAGTATTTCTGTTGGGTTAGATTTAGTCTGCTCTTTAAATTACTTGTGTTCTCCTAAAAAAAAAACAAAATCTCTGAGTTCTCTAATCCCCACTTCGTTTTTTAGGTACACCTGGTGTCCTTAATTGACATTGTTGGTCGTTAGCATACTCTGGGATATACCACTGAACCTCTCAGCAAAAAGGGAAGAGTCACTATCCCAACATTTCTCAGATATTCTGTGCAGAGAACTTGTAAGCCTGGTATCAACCCTCTACTTTTCAAGAATCTATTACACGTGTAATAGAGTGGTGCATTTTACAGATTCTGTATGTGGTTAATATAGAATCTCTGTTCTCAGGGAACTCTGAGGCAGGAGAGAAGGAAAATAGAATGAACTGTGTTGAGTTTGGATAAAAAATAAAGAGGTGCTACAAGAGTGCAAAGCACAGAATGTCTAATCTGTTAGAGACATGAAGTGTGTGTGGTGATGATGATATTATGACAGGGAAGAAAGTCTGAGGAGGTGAAACAAAAGCTGGAAGGAAGGTCAGAAGTCATTCTACAAGGGAATGGTGTGAGCTAAAGGGCATGGTGGTAGGAAATTAGAAAGGTAGGTAGAGATCTGATTGTTGAGGGTTTGAGCTTTACCTAGTTAGTAGTTGGAAACCTTACACAAATTTTAAATAGGGTAGCAATATGATGAAATTTTTAACTATCTTACAGGTAGTTGAAATTGAAGTAAAAATATTAATTAGCTATCGCTGTAGTTCAGAAGAGAAATTTGAAGAGGCTGAACAGAGGCCATATTTAGAATTGAGAATTGGTTTGAAAAGTATTTAAAAGTAGGGTAGAAAGGACTGGGTCTTAGAATACAAAGCGTGACAATTTCTATGATGTCACGGTTTGCTTTGAGTGCCTGCATGGAAAATGTTCACAGGTATGGCCTTTGGAGTTAAACATGTGAGGATGTACATCTGCCATATAATAGTGTCTGATCTCAGAAAAGGGCATTAAGCCTTTAAATCCCATTTGTGATAGAGGAATGATAGTATACATGAGGGTGTTGTGAGGATTAAGAAATAGAGTGTACAAAGCCTTTACCTTAGCTGTTATGTTTATTATCAAGAAATGCAGGAGAGAAGACAATTAGAGAAAGGTTCTGAGGTCAGTTTGAAACATACTAAGTTTATTTTGCCTCCAGGTAGGTGCAGAAGGCCCTAGAGTCATGAAAAAAGTTGTTAGGTACAGTTGGTCTAAGGATGAATAGAAACAAGTTTGAAATGAAAATATAAAGGAAGTTAAGGCAAAGATGACATGCTTTAATGCTCAGATTGGCACAGGAAGGATACTGGTACTATTTTTAGTGGCCCTTCAGTAGCATTTGTGAATGTTCAAGGTGAGTGAGGTGCTGTGATTGCTCTCTGTGGCATCTGGAGATACATACTACAGAATTCCTTACACTCTAAAGTATATACTTCAGGACTGATACGTGATAAGCATCCCATGAATGCTGCAAGCTAAATACGTTAGGAGTTTAAGGGCAGGGAAGGATCATTCCAACTGGGTGATTGTCTTGCGTATAATACTAGAGCTGGATCCAGAATCATGTAACATTGCACTGTACTACAAAACGTACAGATTGCTAACAAAGGAATGAAAGTTTTTAACCTTGGTGACTAACAACAGTATACTTTTTTTTTTTTTTTTTTTTTT